AATATCGAGAAATGTGGACGGAAAATACGGACCAAAGATCAGAGTAAATAGAAAAGAATTGAACCTCATATCCTAAAATAGATAAGAATGATTCCCAGATAATTGGTGGCAAGTCTTTGACGGATTTTGCCAACGATAGGGAAGGATTCGTAAAATTATCTAGAAATCAAGATGTTATAGTAACCGTACCAACCCGAGACATACATCTAAGAGCGGGATTTGTAATATTAGAGAAGCTCGAACGCACCTGAAAAATGCGAAAGGGCGGACTGGTACTACAATAGTACCATATTTTAGTCGAGAAATAAAACTAAAATGAATCTAAAATTGATCAAACAGACAACACCATAACAACCCAAAACCACCAAAGCGGACCAAACGAACAACACCATAACAACCCAAAACCGACCAAGTAGACAACACAATGACAACCCAAAATCACCCAAGCAGACAACACCGTGACAACGAACATCCGACCAAACAGACAACACCGTGACAACCCAAAACAAACAGACAACACCATGACGGCCCAAAACTGACCAAGCAAACAATACCAACAACACCATCGTAACCCAAAATCGTCCATACAGACTAAGCGGACAACACCATCACAACCCAAAATCGCCCAAGCCGACAACACCGTGACAACCCAAGCGGACCAAGCGGACAACACTATGACAGCCCAAAACCGACCAAACAGACAACACCATGACAACCCAAAACCACCCAAACGGACCAAGCGGACAACACTATGACAGCCCAAAACCGACCAAACAGACAACACCATGACAACCCAAAACCACCCAAGCGGACAACACCGTGACAACGAACATCCGACCAAACAGACAACACCGTGACAACCCAAAACCACCCAAGCGGACCAAGCGGACAACACTATGACAACCCAAAACCGACCAAGCAGACAACACCATGACAACCCAAAATCGCCCAAGCGGACCAAGCGAACAACACCGTGACAACCCAAAACCGACCAAGCAGACAACACCATGAGAGCCCAAAACCGCCCAAGCGGACAACACCATGACAGCCCAAAACCGACCAAGTAGACAATTTCGTGACAACCCAAAACCACCCAAGCGGACAACACCATGACACCCCAAACGACGAAGCGGACAACACTGTGACAACCCAAAACCGCCCAAGCGGACAACATCGTGACAACCCAAAACCGACCAAGCGGACAAGACCGTGACAACCCAAAACCACCCAAGCGGACCAAGCGGACAACACTATGACAGCCCAAAACCAACCAAGCGGACAACACCGTGACAGCCCAAAACCACCCAAGCGGATCAGGCGAACAAATTGTGATAGCCCAAAACCGACCAAGCAGACAATACCGTGACAGCCCGAAACCGCCTAAGCGGACCAAGCGGACAACACCGTGACAACCCAAAACCGACCAAGCGGACAGCACCGTGACAGCCCAAAACCGCCCAAGCAGACAACACCGTGACAGCCCAAAACCGACCAAGCGGACAACACCATGACAACCCAAAACCACCCAAGCGGACCAAACGGACAATACCACAACAACCCAAAACCGACCAAACAGACAACACCATGACAACCCAAAACCACCAAAGCAGACCAAGCGGACAACACCATAACAACCCAAAACCGACCAAGCAGACAACACCGTGACAGCCCAAAACCGCCCAAGCGGACAACACCGTGACAACGAACATCCGACCAAACAGACAACACCGTGACAACCCAAAACAAACGGACAACACCATGACGGCCCAAAACCGACCAAGCGGACAGCACCGTGACAACCAAAAACCGCCCAAGCGGACAACACCGCGACAGCCCAAAGCCGCCCAAGCGGACAACACCGTGACAGCCCAAAACCGACCAAGCGGACAACACCGTGACAGCCCAAAACCGCCCAAGCGGACAACACCGTGACAGCCGAAAACCGACCAAGCGGACAGCACCGTGACAGCCCAAAACCGCCCAAGCGGACCAAGCGGACAACACCGTGACAGCCCAAAACCGACCAAGCGGACAGCACCGTGACAGCCCAAAACCGCCCAAGCGGACAACACCGTGACAGCCCAAAACCGACCAAGCGGACAGCACCGTGACAGCCCAAAACCGCCCAAGCGGACCAAGCGGACAACGCCGTGACAGCCCAAAACCGACCAAGCAGACAACACCGTGACAGCCAAAAACCACCCAAGCGGACCAAGCGGACAACGCCGTGACAGCCCAAGGAAAGCCCAAACCTCAATCCGGACAATTCCTAAAATTCCGGGAATTTTCAGCTCCGGGGAATTCCCAAAATTCCCGGGATTTTTAGACAATAAGCGTTAAAATACCCGGAATTTTCAGGATCCCCCTGCAAGGCCCTCACAAGCAGCCAAATGGACCGGAAGAGGAGGCGGGACATCCGACGGGGCGGCCGCAGAGCGAAAATAGGGGTCGAGCCCGTAGCCTTTTATAGGGATATTTCCAAGACCAATAAAAGATTAAAAGAGTTTATGGTATATATATATATATATTCCTTTTAATAAGGCATTTATAATATAATCCTGCTTTCTAGAAATTCCTAAATTAACAAATTATTTTTGCATTCTATCCGTATTAGAGTTTAATTCTAAATTCTTCTTTTCACTAATGATGAACGTATATGAATGAAAAGAAAGCCAAGTGTATTCATTCTATTCGTTTATTAATTTCGTGTATTCTTTTTCAATTCAATAAAATATTAGTGACTTAATTTAATATTAAGAAGATAAACGAAATGAAGGAGATAAAAAATGTATCATTTGTATTTCAATTATAAGTGAAATCCACGCTGGACGCTGCTGACAAAGCGCTCGGGGGTTCCGCTTCCTTTGCTTAATATAGAAAACTCTTTTGAAGGGCAGGAGATCATGAATAACGCCGATTATCATGACTTTAGAAATTCTACACGACTCAAAGCCTTTTTGTCGTCCTTCTGCGACCGCAAACGGAACCATCTTCAAACCTGTCCCCTAGCTGAGGTCCCACCCCCATCTCCCAATCCTTAAGCCTGTTCAAGCCTGGGCACAACATTTAAGTCCTTTCTTGCTTTGACGACAGGGAAGGGCTATCCTTCCAAAGACCCGATGTGAATGACCAATTCCATTTACAAGCCAGATGATAGTAATACTCATTTTGTTGCCTAGAGATGGACATCTTGAATCTAGAGAACGTTACATAAAGATTTTCACACCCTTGCACAAGCCTGAACTCTCGTTGAACGTTTGTAGCCTGCTGTTTCAAGCTCTCGAGCAGCCATGCGTGTTTGATGTTTCTGTACAAGGTACCCGCTTAATTGAATGCTTGCTCACCTGAGTAGCTGATGTTGAGCTTGTTCCCAGAGGACCCGAAGCATTTTTGCAAGTCCGACAAGCGCTCGTCGGGCGAAGGTTCGAAAGCATCATTGCAGTAGACGTAAATGGTCTCCAGCTTCAAGGCCTCTTTCAGATATACGATGAGCTTTGAGAACTTCTTGCATCCATCGATGGTGAAGCGTGGTTGCCGCAAAGCCGGCGCCGATCCCATCGCTTTGACATGGACTTCAACCTTGCCACTGCGCAGTCTGGCTAAATGGGCCAGAACCGCTCCTCCGCTCACATCCTGTGCCTTCGACATGAGCATCGCTTGGCTTGAGCCTCTGAACATAGAAGCTGAGAAGCACAGATGGGTGTATTCGTCTTTGCGGAGTATTCAAGCCGTGCTCTTCATCTGTGAGTCTCTTAGAATTGGCAGATTTGATACACGCAGCATCACTCAGCACACAGACATTTTCAAGTCGCATCTCTGGCTTCAAGCACATGTCCAAGCCAAGTTGCTCTCACTCAAGAAACAGGTGCAAGAGGATGTTGCGCAAGCGCTGAGTCTGGGTGTTTGCCAAAGATCGGCATCCGACCCCTCCCCGCACTGGTGATACGCGCATGGCATCTTCGCCAACCCCCCACGCAGGCTACTGATGCATTGAAATAGAGTGCTTAAGCGTGATCAGATTGCATCATGTTCCTGAGACAATCATGTTGTATAACAGATGGAGCTGGAGTGTCATTTGGGATATGAGATGTGCACTCTCTCTCTCGCTGCAGAAGCTGTCTCAGGCCGTTCCAGCCCAAGTCGCCACGACCTGTTGGAGCTTGCCTTGGCTGCCTTGGTGCAGTTTCTGTCATTTGCGCTAGCATGCCTTGTGATGGCTCTTGACGGTCTGGTGCCCTCCCCATCACTGGACTGCGAAATGACTTCAACGTTGCATTGCCAAGGGTGTGCCGAGGTGTCCCGATGGCCGAGGCGCAGGCTGTTCTTGCTGCATGTCGGCGCCTGCCTTTACGGCAGCCAGCTGTCAAAGCGGAGATCTTTTCAAAGGATCTCCGGTTTTTCAATGAGCTTTCAATGAAGTCAGCATAAGCTCATCGGGCTCGGCTGTGCTTGAAAAACCAGCTACATGTTGGCAATGCTTATCTTCTGCTTCTCACCAGCATTGCCCATGAACTCTGGCACTGCACGCGGCAAAGCGAGATGGTTCTCAAGAACAGTGACGGCGTGCGTGTGCTACATGAAGTGCATAGCGTTGTATGCACCGATCTCAGACTTGGAGGCGTTGAGCTGACAACGCTCAAACTGCCGAATCCCAAAGTGTACAAGTGAGGAGTCTGGAGTATTCTGGAGTGCAAGGCCTGGTACAGATCGAACCTGAGATCGTAAAAAGTACTTCGCAAAAAAGTCACTAGGAGGTCGCTGCGGGGGAACTTCATCCCATTTTCATGACCTGATGGCCGGCATCAACAACTGATGACAACCTATCTTTCTATCTGTTGCTTTAATAACAACTACTTTCAACAGGAAGTGTCAACTTCCATCACGTCTTTGGTGGGCATCCGTTCAGTACAAGGAAAATCTTCGTGCAAAGCGCAGAGTCCCCCTGCAAAGGGAAGTATCAGTTGCGCTTGTCGACAACTGTCAACACAACTCGAAGCTTATCAGAGGAATGCCACACGGCAGGCCAGGCTCTTTTCCTGGTTTCCTCACATACCTGCCGAGAGCATGAGCGGCTGCAAAACCTTGCAAATTGGGGACCGTTTCGGGTCTTCACCTCGTCGCCGGCTCTTTAGATCTGGCTTGAGAGACAATTATTGTCGTTCTTGTCGGCAATGTGAATTTGTGGGCATTGGCCTGCATCCTGTCACTAGGTCGGGCCAAGCTACGACTAATTTATCTCTCTGGGAATCCGGAAAGCCTCCCGAGCCCTGCCTGTGTCTGGGTATGCACCACAAGCTTCAAGTTGCTGCAAATACTGTAGATGAAGCGGTGACGAATCCCCAAGACCTTCCGCACAACGGGATTTTGCCACTTTGTAGTACACTTTACATGTGCCTTGCATATTTGCCCTTTTCACGTTCCACGCATTCATGCACTCTTGCGAGCCTGAAAGGGTTGGTGGAAACAGCGGAGCCTAGCATTCACACGGTGTCTGATATGTTCTGCCAGGGATAATCAAGAACGCTGACTGAGGGACTGAGGCATGGACGCACACTGTGTTGCCAGTCGTTGCTGAGTGTATGGTGCGGTTAGTGCCTGACATGGGGTGAGCCTTGCCGGAAGGATCCGCTCAATGTGTGAAGCTGAACCTCCAGTCCCTGGTGGGATCATGAAGTTGTACCTTCCGATGATTCCGATGGCTCAAGCTGCTTCCAAGGCAGAACCTGAACACACAGCAACAGCAACTGATAACTGGCGGGAGGTCGCGACGAGGCCAGTATGTCTGGCGTAGTGGCGCTGCCCATGATCGGCACCTTTGAATCAGCACGTAATTTCATTTTTCAAACTGAGACAACCCTTGCCTGCGGATCGGTAAGTCCCGAGCCTGCGGATCGGTAAGTCCCGAAATGTTGCCGATGGGAGCGCCAGGGCCCATCCTCACCCGAGTGTGCCGAACAACTATCATCAGCAGATCTTGATGTCGACTCGTGACACTCAAATCCAAAGTACGAATCAGTTTCCAAAAGCATGACATTGCCGGAGCCCCGAGCCCTGTGCAGCGTGCGAACCCCATAGTTTGCATGTGTTTTGGGATTTGGGGTTGCCTTGCAGTACGTTGCGTTGCGTTGCATTGGGCTCCCTGGCCTGAAAGTTTCAGCAGCGGTCGCCGTCAATGTTGACCTGCACACAGATTCAAGGCTTTCAGCCCAACGAAGGGCGAGGAAACCACCAGCCGCAAATATGCGGCTTGAACCCTCCTGTGGATCAAGGACAGCGTGACATTTTTAGGAGCAAGCCGGCAAAGCAAAACGAAACACGAAGCAAGCAATGCACAACCCAACGGGACAGCTCTTATAGGCATCCGTAGCTTGCCACAACCCTGCCACTCCTGGGCATGTGATCGATGGAGGTGGGACTCCAGGCGGAAGAGCGAACTTGAATGTCCTTAAAAGCTGGAAAGGGTCTCTTGGGGACCACAGGGTACGTGCCTAGTGATGCCTAGTGCATGGGGGGCCAGGCCCAAGCGCCACCATGCCGTCCCCGCCTCAATGCTCCAAAAGCTGGCATCCGAGGGCAATATGCTATATGGCGCTAGGGCTCTGAAAGTTGCATGTGGTTTGTCATTTGCAACCAGGGTGCTGTGATTCGAAAGGCGCGACGGAGTGGGAATGAACACGTGCCCCATGGTTCTCACAGTTCCTTGGTTGTCTGGCGGTTTCCGGAAGTGCAACACTACAACGGACGACGTTTTTAAAGAGAGAAACGAAAGAGACACACAGCGCCTCCTGCATGTGCATGTTGTTCTAAATTCTAGTGCCAAGCCTAAAGCCGAAGGGTTCCCTTGCGCCCTTGCGCCGCCTTGCGCCGTGCTAGCGTTTGGCCATGCCGGCAAACATGCCAACTACAAAATGTGGTACCGACAAGGTTTTCTGGGTTGTACTATGGACTAGAAGCGATGCTTCCATAAGCTGGCTGGATTGTCATTGCTTCGTAGTACGAGCTCAGTACTGGAAGCGACGATTCCTTTATCCAGCTGGATTGTCGCTGTTCATTAGTTAGCACCGGAATCGATGCTTCATGACATGTACAAACCAGTTTTATTGCTTTAGGCGAGGCCCCTGTCGCTTTTGGGAGGTTTGCTGAAACGACCTGTGAGCTCCTCAATGCTGGCTTAGATAAACAAGCTTTGGCGGGTGCTCAAATCACAACTAAGCCCTTTTGACTTCGTAAGCCTACGCAGTATCCTCCAAAGCCACAGTAATCACCGTAACCCACTTTGCGAACCCTACTTACTAAATCAGAAGGGCTTCCCTGTAGGGGCCCCCGACGCCGGCCACACGCGAAGCTCAAGCCCTAAACCCTAAGCCTAGGGTTTAACCCTAAACCCGTTGCGGGTCTGCCATTCAAAAAGCCTGGGGATGCTTTAGGATCGTTTGGAGCTCTGTGGGTAAGGGTTTGCTTGAATTTGCGGGCCCCGCTAGACGCGCGTGTCGTGTTTGGCTATCCAGAATTATTGTTTCAGCGTTTGTAATAAACGACTCTAGATTTTGAAGCTTTGAGAGCCTGCGTATAGTTCTAGCAGACGGCCTGATTTTAGAGTTTGGGGTTTTTAGCCCTTGCGCTCGCCCTTGCGCCCCCTTGCGCCATGCTGGTTGTTGGTGCCGTGGTTACACGAAGGCAACATATGAGTGGCCGGCCCAATTAAACACGAAGAGTGGGGGGTTTAGAACAACGCCCATGTGCTGACTGCAGAGTGACTACAAGCAGGTTACTAGCTCACGTTCTCCTGAGGAAAAGGCGAGGTAGGCAAAACACTATAAGAGGCCGCCCAGTGAAGATGTTTTAGTGACTATGCATCATGCTGCGTCTCAAGCCCTCAACCACAAAACGCACACACACACAACAAGCCCTACAAACCCCAAGCCTCACCGCTGCTGCAAACCAACGGTGACTCTTAAGCCAGACATCCTGAAGACCAAAATCTTGAAACACACTTGATAGTGAAACGCCGAAAACCATGACCAGAACATCCCAGAACATCTCAGAACGCTGGACTCCACAAGGCTGACAAAAAGCTGCAACGCATGCAGGATGTAAGTCAGCTTGTCCGCCAGCTCCTCCAGCTTCAGCGGGTGCAGCAGGGGGACGTGCCCTTAGCAGCTGACTTGAGAGGCAAATAGAGGAGCTGAAAGAATCGTAAACAAGTCGTGCCAGGGTGGGCTGATTGAAGCGCCTGCGGTGTTTGTTTTGGAAAAAGCAAAGTGGATCTGTTCTCCGGACAATTCGAGAAGCTCTAGCAACGTACATGTCGAACTATGCAGCGCTCATAGTGTCACAGAAGGCTTCAAGTAGTTGTAATGCGCCATAGGTCGTTGATGGAAGGAGTGGGCACGAATGCTTGAAGCCTAGCAGGCAGCAAAGTGGGCATGAATGACCACCGCGACTAGATGTGACTCGACCGAGGGCAGCACGGCTGTTTGGTCTGGAATCTTGGAGCCCTTCCAGAATCTGCTCCGAACCTGCGAAACTCCAGGCACCCGCTGGGCAACAATCCAAATCTACCAATGTTCTGTGACTGTGAGGATTCAAAGCTACGGAAGAAGCTTGGAATACAACACGGAATCTGAGAATATACAATCTCTCCACCCTATATAAACACGCTAAAGAAACCTAACCAAAGCTGAAAAATGACATCAAAGGAGGGATAGCAAGGAAGGGCCGGGGGCTGCAACCGTCCTCCGTCTACGCTTGGCACCTCTGGCGCTTCCGGCACCTGGTATGCCATTGTATGCCATGGTGGGTGCCAGTACAGCGCAAAGAGCAGTCATTAAACACCTGCTAGATGGTCCGAAACCATACGCAATGGCTGCGCTCTACACGACTCTGGACATCTGGTTGAGGTTTCCTATGACAAGTAACTCAGAGCGATGCTCGCGATTCCTGTTGCCGCTTCATGTCGAAACGGGCATCTACCTGGGTGTGTACACACTGAAGCATGGCAGAACACACTGGGAGAAAGCCACTGAGGCCGTCGGCCTGTGAGCCGGGCGCAGCAACGGGCGCAACAACTTGCTTGTCCTCAGGCAAGAGTTCCTGCAAGGATGCCAAGAGCCATTGATTTTTGAACATACATGGCCGGCATCTGGCTTCTGGAAGGCCTTCGTGCTATGAGCAAAGCGACACGAGCCACCGTGCCTTAAACCAGTGAAGTGCCTACGACACACACACACACACACACACACTTGACATGGATTGCAGTCCATATCTCTTGGCCTACACAAGCTTGCTTTTGCGAAATGCGCAAGGCTCGGGGTTTCTGGCAGCTCTGGGGGGCTCCGGGGCTCGAGGGACTCTGCGCTGCCATGAAGGCAATTTCATGAACATATCGTGTGCGAAGTTCCGGCAGGGAGGCTGTGAGGCATGCATCTTGCTGATCCCGTGAGTTGCACGTTTGAAAAAGACGGGGCGACGCGCCGCCACCTCGTCCGAAATTGACTTGAGCTCAGCACCACAAAAACTGGACGACTCGCTGTTTACTCTCTCTTTGCGGTTCCAAATATCCGGCATCGGCATGGACATGACTTGTCAGTTCTTCTCCCAATCCGGGTCCCCACCCTGCACCCCTTTGACTATTGATGAACCCGAGCCGTAAGCGACAACTACCCCAAGCTTCAAGGAGCTAGCTTTTGCGCGAACCTCCTTTAAAAGCACCATTCCACTCCATCGCACACAGGTCACATTGACATGACATGCACTGCATTAAACCGCGGCAGCCGCCAGCTTCCCGACTGAGGCTGATGCTTGCAACGCCCACGGTGTGCAAATCGACACAGCTTCGTCTTGAAGAAACCCTCCGTTGTTCGAAGTTCCCTGAGAGCGAATTTGTATGCGCTTCCCAAGTGCTTTGACATCTTCTGAAGTTTTCTGAGTTCCTCTGAGCTTGCGGCCGCTCGTCGTGTGCGAACGCGCAGTTGGGCTTTTCGCAGTTACCGGTCCTAGGCCGTCCAGCAAGAGATGCTCTTGCAGAGACTGTGGAATGTCTTGCCACAGGTTGCGAGATCTTGCGAGGTCGTTTGTCCCGAATCACATGAGGGCCGGTCAGCAGGAACGTCTTGCACATGCTCGTTCGGTTGAGGTTCGGCCTTGCATTCACCAGGTCACTTAGTGGCGACTGACACATAGCTAGACAAGCTTCATTGAGCATCCGGCTTGTCACGAATTTCCGACACATCATGCGCAAAGCTGCAGTTCGCGCCCTTCCCACACCTCTCCAACTTAAAGAGCTTGAAAGTTTTCTCTCAATGTGGGATCTTTGTAGCATTCCGGAGCCTTATGCAAGGCTTGCGAAAACACAAGACTAAGAGGGACTAGAGGTTTCACAAGCCTGTTCAGCATGTGAAACTTGCACATCTCGGTCTTCTGGAGCTGGCGAACTTGCCTCCGCAAAATTGCTCTGGCGCTTTGCTGTTTTGCAGCCCGCTTGCGTCCAGCGCCGAGTCCCGAGCTTGTGCCGCAGGCTCGGGTACACCGTAGCTGATTGTGAATCTGCCATGTGTGACCTCTCGCGAGGTTCTAGAAAGCCACAGGAGAGGTGACGGCAAACTTTCGTGAAGGAATGTGACGCTGATGAGTTTTATGATTATGTTAGCATTCAGATGGTAGTTCAAAATACCTGTCCCCCAAATACATAATGACCATGGGGTAGGTTTCCCTTTTTTGTACAGTACAGATTCCCCCTGTTTAAAGGGGCCAGTTTCCCATGGTTCATCCCTTCAAGGACCTTTGGAGCAATCCCCATAGATTTTCTACTCATCAGGAATGACTGGAGCCCTTGCAGCTTCGCGGCTGGCCTTGCTGCTCTCGCCTCTGAGGACTCTCCGGGCCGAACGGCCCTCTCAACCCCCTTAAACTCTTCGAACTAAGAGAGGTTCAGAACATTTTTTTTGAGCAGAAAAGAGATTCGCGCAGGAAGGAGGAGGCATGTATCACAGGCAAGAAGTGGTTTGCAGGCAAGCTCTACATGCTCTGCTCAGAGTTGGCATTGTTTGACTCATGAGTTTCAGCATTATGATGAACCGACCTCTGGTGACCATTTGGTAGCACTGAGGCGAGGTTCGTGCTTCACCCAGAGAAAAGGTGAGCCAAGCGCATTATCAGTGGCCGGAAGCCGTTGCTAACATAATTACAGTCCTGTAAGATTGTACTCTGCTGTATTCGGTCTTGGATCAGCATGCTTCCTCGAGACTGACTGGTTCAGCCATGGACATGCAATGCCGATTAGCAGCCTACCAAAGATGTCCCCCAAAATCACTGCAGTACCAGTTGTAGCGTTGCACTGTTTCAAAGACTACGAGGACTGTGCGTTGCGATTTCGATCCTGGTAGCCTGCAGGGACCTATCTACAGAAAAGTTGCCGATCGTGCATCTCATGCAAGACGTGATACCTTTCCCTTCTGTCCATCTTCAGGCTTCAGGCCAATTCAGGCGAGAGGGCTTCGAACTGGAGATGCCTGTGGCCCAGTTCAGTCAGATGTGGCAGCTGGGTTTGGGTACAGTGCATCGATCCTGCATGGCTCTCTGCTGCACCCTCTGCAGAGCCGCATAGCCCCTCTCCATCCTCGTGTCCTGCTCCTCTCGCTGCTTGGCCTGATCGCAGTTGAGACGTGTTGGGACTGTGGAGTTCGAACGAAGCTCGAACTAATACTATTAGTATTGCATCGGACATCGTCGGCACGCCTCCACGTCTTCTGCACGAAGGCGCATCTGCTCAGCATAGCCTGTGCGCTCAAACGCTACGGGGAACTCGAGGAGTTCGCCCCCCGAATCTTTTGGTCTGTCCCCAGCGTTACCCCGCTCTCGTAACTAAAAAGAGAAAATTTTTTTCATTCAATGAGAGATTGGCCAAGTGAAGATTTCGCCTCTGCTCCCTGGAGCTGGTCGGTTGGTACCTGAACTTGTCATGTTGCCGTGATCGCTGCATGATGCTCTTGATCGCGGCGTGCTACTGCGTGGCTATAAGTCTGAAATCGGACCTCCACCACGAGCAGCCTTCAGAGCTTCCAGATAGTAGGAGGCTGAGTTCACCTTCATACCAACAAGCACAGCAAATCCACTGAACAGCTTCTTCCCCCAGAAAGCATACACCACCGGCCTGAATGGCTTTCTGCTTCCACGGCTTGGGTGCTGGCAAGAGGCTTCGAACATCAGATGTTAGACCAGTGCGCTGCACTGCGCATGCTGCACATCAATTCAAGCATCTTTCCGTGCCTGAGGAGTTCGTGTCCGGAGGTAGAGGTTCACCAAGGGCCGCTCCACTCCTGGGTCACCAAGGCAGTTCCAGCAACACGGCGCCCTTGCGAGGCCGCTGTGGATCCTTGGTGACATCGACGGCAATTCCATCAGGTCTTCATGGTCGTCCGCGGCGTGCGGATAATCGTTGATCGCATCTCCGATGTTCCAATCAGGACATCGTGGAGATGTCGCTCGGCTGCTCTCTCTGCTCCCTCCTCGCATAGGGGCTTGCAGCAACAACTTAGCCATGATACAGGCAGCATCAGGCAGCTGACTGTGGCCTTGACAGGCCGGTGCTGCTGCAGGTCTCTGCCTGCTCAAGGGGGCCACATGCCATGATTTGTATGCAAGGGCTCTGACATGGTCTGACCAACAAGCGCTACCAGTACGAGCAACGAGGATCATACCAATTCCTGTTGGCTCGTTGAGAAAGTTTTGAAAGTTGAGCTAGGTGTGTTTGGGTGTGTCTGGAATTCTCAAAGTACCGCAAACATCAGACATTCACAATCCGCCTAAGTCCTAAACACGTCTCGCCTGCCCCTTGGGTAACTATCTGCGCAGTAGAAAACGCTGAACATCAGAGCCTGACAGGCTGGCTGGCTGCACGCGGAAGTTTCTTGAGCTTTGGCACCTGGCTGCACTGCGGTAGATCTTTTCACGCTACGACAGAAAGACTGAGAGACTTCTCGCAATACTAATCATGCAGGCAACGCGGCGTGAGAACGCTCACATGGCCTTGAAACAACACACGGCAAGTTCAAGCGAAGATCGACCACACAAGCGCATTCCCACCTGGGAGGCGCCGCTTGCGCAGCATCACTGTCCACAATAGCCCATGTTGGGCAGTTGGGCGTGTTTTCACGGCTGCTTTCTGTGCTGCGGCCTGCGGACGCTACAGATCGCATTGCGGCGTGCTGCAATCCCAGCATATCCCAGCAGCCCATCTTTCCAAGGAGTCGGACTAAGCTTGGTTGGGCAGGAAATGGTCTCCCTGCCTCCTCCCGGAGCTGGAAATTCCAAGCTTGGAAGGGGCCTTCGTTAGATTCGATGGCGCAAAAGGATGCAAAAGGCATGGACATGTCTTTGTCTCCAACTGAGATACGCACCTCAAGGGTGGCTGGCTGGACGCCCTCGAAGCATTCGACTTGGGCGTCAGTCCGGTCTTGTTGCCCAGGTCGGCGCGCCAGCGGCGTTTCCGCTGTCGTTCCATGAGCGCCTCTGTCCGGAGAAGCACGTCGTTGCTTCTCTCACACCAATATCTGTATTCCCTACTAGGGCGGGTTACATGCGGTAGGGAACGACTAGGCGTTCGCATGTGTGTGTCGACGATCGCTAGGAGGCTACGGGCCTGTGACTTTTTGTTACCGTCAAGGAGCCGGTTTTCCCGACATTCTGGCCTGACACAGAAGGTGGCCCTTAAGCCAAGAATCGTTTTTTCTTCGCAGTGGCCCTGTCAGCCTGACCACCGTGGCCAGCTGCAACAATCAACTGTTTGTGCGTTGTTCTGCGTTCGCATCGCTGAGGATTGGCATCGACAGCGATGTAGCTTGAACTCTGCTGTAGGAATTTTGCATTGAATGGCTTCAGGTTTCCTTTTGCAGGGTGTAAGCTTGTGGGAATTGCATCAGCCATCATCAGCCGGCAGTTGCGAGGAAGAACATCGAGCTAGCGTTACCATGTTTTCCAGGGCTGCAAACAGAGAATCCACCGGCGCAGAGCTCCTGCCAAAGCACAAAACCTACAGGACCTACAGATCCCCACAGCCACCGCCCTCAACCTCCCAAAGCAATCAGCAGCTGAATCTTTCAGAATCTTTCAGAAAACGATTCAAGGAGTCTCCCCTCGTCCAACCCTGCTTTCAAGCCCCAACAACCTTTCCCCCAGAATGAGATTTTGAGGATCCCCGCATGTTTGGATGCCAAGCCTTTGCGGCTTTCCACGGGCACCCGGTGAATTTAGGATTCTGAAGTGGGTTTATGTCCAAGCCGGCATTTTATGGCATTCCATAGCATTCCACGTGATTCTTCCAACCTTTACTATTGAGAGCCTACATTTGGGCCGACATCCTTCAGCAGCGCGATGCGAAGATACTAAATCGATGGAAGCTGCTCTTTGAGGTGGCGTGAGCGTTGAGAACTTGATTTCTCTACAAATGAGATGCGATGCTATTCTATTTTTGCGGTGTCATGTTCTATGCTTGGCTGAGGCCAGCGCTGCTTCTGCACGTTCGTGCTCGCGTTCCATCTCCTCCTCTTGGATGAGCACGCGGGCCTGGCTGCAAGAGGCAGACATGGCACAGACATGGCACGAAACTGGCACGAAACATCCTTGCGTTCCGCCGCGCCTGCTCCTCAGATTTAGCCTTGTGTTTGAACTCCGCTGCTCTGAGCTTTGCCCGATGTTGACTTTGCAACGCCTGGTGCTTCATCAACCGAACTACTGTAAATTTCTGACCGAGCGCTGCTGACTGACATTGACTGACCGTTCGCATGACAGTGCTGATGGCCTGCCGAATCTTGCTGTCTTCGGCCTAGGGCGTTGGGCGTTCCATGCGCCACCACTTCATGCGACTTTTGAATGCCAACACAGATACAACTTGATACAACAATGAGTTGGCCGCCCGTGCCGCATCATCAATGCGACGCTGACGTGCCTTGCCGATCACTGTATCAGTGGGCTCACTGTTTCTGCATCTCTGTTTACCCGAAGAATCCCTAAGGCGTCGGTGCAACCTCTTCAGCTGCATGTTCTTGCTCCTTCTGCTCTCGAAGGTGTTGCTGCATTCGCTGCCGAGTACGTACTCGCCTTGGGCAGCAGCTTTGGCCACGACGTGATGCAACCACATTTTTTCAAGCTGGTGCCAGATGAAACATGAAAGGAGCAACGCGTGCGATGTGCCGAGGCGCAGTTCCTCGGCTCGAGCTTCACTTTCTTCAATTTGTAGCCTCCTGGCCTCGCAGCGGTGCACTCTGAAGGTGAGAGCAGTGAGGGCGCGCGCAAAGTGGCATGGTCTTCCACATCTTAAAATCAAGCACGCTTCAGCTCATGTTTTTCCACGAATGATCACGAATGCCTTGCGCATCCTTGTGCAAGGGATGTTGGTAACAGTCATTAGGCAGATGCTATCGCCACATTTCCAACCTTTTCCAACGGCTCACAGAATAGGAGGCCTGTGGGATCTTGCATCTTGAAGTGCTGTCCGTGCAAGAACAAATGCGAATCTGTTGGGGGAGGCTTTGGGAGAAACTTGCGAGGAGACGGCACTCAGGTTTTGCGAGGTCCCGGCATGGACCTGGTCGTCTGGATTTGGGATTCCCTACTCGGCGGATCTTACGGTTTCTGACCGGATCCCTTTTGGAGTTGTAAGATGAGGTACGTCCAGTGTAGGTTCGCCATGCTGCGCTTGTCTGGGATTGGGGATGGTTCCTTCTCGGCATCAAGGCTGAAGGCTTGGAAGTTACGGTCTGGGAATTCGGGTTTGAGGGTTTCAGTGTGGGAGTGAAGCGTAGGCTTGTTTGGTTCGTCGCTTGTACTTTTGAGGGTTTAAGGTATGCCACTCGTCGCTCCTTGCAAGGCTTGGGGTTAGGGTTTAGGCTGCGGCACTCAGCAGGAATTGCATGCTGACGAGCTCAAAGAGCCCTGGGAGACCGTTCAAGCACGATACAAGCACGAAGGCAGGAAACATATCAGAGCCACAAGCGATATCATGCGTTGATGATCCTTCGATGATCCTTCGATGACTTTCTACATTGTACGGCTTTGTGCAAGCTGGTGGGACGGTGGTGATCGACACAGAACTCGGGCTCGGCACATTTCGCTCTAACTTCGCTCGCAAACCTTTCAGCATCTTTCAACACTCGGGCTTTAACGATCTTTACTTTCATGTCGGATGTCTTAGCGGATTTTCGTGGCCAGGCACACGCCAACGTTCACAGGACAATCAGAAGCAACCACAAAAGATCGGCTCCTCCGATTCTTGCTTTGCCATCTCTTCAGCCATTTGGCGACATGCATTCTCCTCAGGGCATGAAGCACTTCCTTGCAACATCCTGCAACGATGATCAACGATGTATCTACATGAATCAGCTGGGCTCCTTCTCAGCCAGTCGTTTCAAGGCTTGTTGACGCAGCTCCTTTCCAGAAGCGAGCGGCAGCTGGCGGTGTCCTAGGACCGGTTTTCCCTGAACAGTGCCTCGGCCACTTGCCGCGAACGCTTGTCTCGTTCCTCAGCATCGCCTTCGGAGACAATGTTGGCTACCGAATGCTGAAAAATGCTCCGTCCACAATGCCGAGGCTCCAGCGTTCGTGCTGCTCATGAAGTACCTTCTCGCGGTTTCTTTCGGCTCGAATGCGCTCCTTGTTCAGAAAATGTGGCTAAGCTCCCCTTGCCTTCCCATGAAACCTGCCAGCATCTACTGAAAACCATCTGAATGTGACGCGAGCTAAAGACTGCTGCAGTGTCCTGCACCCGTTCCCTTGATTGCCGCTCCAACTCGCTTGCCTTTGCTTCTGCCTCAGCCTAGTACCAGCAGAGCGGCACAGAACTTCGAAGACCCTAGGGCCCTAGTCATCCCTCCATGTCGTATTCATTTGCTTCTCGATGCATGTTCAATGAGACCTGAGCACCCCCCACCTGCTTTTTGCGCTTCTCTTCTGCCTCCTTGCGTTGACGCTCTCTTTGCTCCTGAGAAACACCCGTTATCAGTGCGCTTGATGAGGAGGACCAAGACCTAAGGTCTCCACGGAGTCTACACATTCTACATGTACCAATAAACAAGTACCACCTTTTTTTTGCCCTTTTCCATCTCCAAAACATACATAGTATAGCTGTGACAAACAACACGCTGCATTTGCGGTCCTTTAGTTCTTGCTTTCGACGGGCCTTGACTCTCTCCTCAGCCTGTCGGCACGAAGAATGCGCAGCACTGTCATCGATGTCAAGGCTTTTCCAGGCAGGGACCTGTCGATGAAGATGGAGCCCCTCCTTCCCAGACTCCTTAGGCTCCTTTCAGAATTTCAGCACGGCTGTCACAGCATGTCACAGCGCAGCTCTGACTGCACCCGACGCAAAACACACACTCACGATCCTGCTGAGGCCCAGAAATCTCAGAAGTAAGCTTTTCAGAGCCGGAATCCTTCGAGATCACATGTCGCTGCCAAGCCATTAATTAGCCGCTAGCAATTGCACATCCTCATCAGCTTCTGCTGCAGCCGCTTGGGCTAGCTTTTCAGCAGCCATAGCTGCTTCTCGGGTAGCTGCGGCCAAGTTTTTGGCCTGCCCAAAATGCTCCAACGGTTCTGCGAACTTTGACTCGTGCTTGTATTGCTTGTCAAGTTGAGGTGCTCCACCTCCTTCAGCTGCTGCTCCAGATTGTCAATTTCATCCATTTTTTGCAGTCGCTCCTGCCCAAACCTACTAAAATGCATGATGAGCTTCGTAATGCTGTCATCGGCCGGACCTCCTCTTCCAACACTTTTACCGGAGGTCTCTTCATTCGAGGAGGACCTGCCTGGACCACCCCATGAGGCATACTGCACAATATCCACGAGCCACATGATAGTCCGCCGGTTGGGATTACGCCCAGGTGTCTACAGCTTGCCCTGGCCACGGCTGACTGGCCTTCTTGTAAGAGGGATGCTTGGCTTTCTCCTTCCAGACTTGCTGCAGCCCACCTGCCGTGCATCTCCCTGCGTGTCTGCACGAGTCTGTGCAGTGAGTGGCAATGGCGCTAGCGCTCTACAGCCCTCAACTAGCCGGCTCCACTGAGCTCCGAGACTGCAGACAGGATGCTGCCCTTGGACTCTCCGTCCTCCTTAGCGGGGCTTCGTGTGCTTTGGCCACTCCGCCAACACGGAACCATTCGAACTTCAGCACTGCGCTGTGACTGATGTGGACTGTGCCCCGTACGCTCGAAGTGACGGCTGGAGGCAGTCTCGGAGGCTCTAGCACAGGGTCAGAGCGATTGCGCGCGGCACTTCTCGCCTGAAGCAGCCAATCTTCACAGGTGGGAGCAGCACGGAGCATCAACAGCAAGTGCAACGCAGGCCTTTGCAAGCTTGGGCTTTGGGGCTCTCTGCCGGTGGTTGGCTCCGCTGGCTTCCTCCTTGGCTTCCTTTTCCAAAGCTGTAGGGGAGAGCCTTGCCATGCATTTGCCATGGAGCGGCCAATACGTTTTGCCACCTCTTGCGTCATAAGTTCAGCTTCAGTGGCGGTCTTGCAAGCAGCTCTGCCATCTTTGAAAAGACAGACCTGCACATGACCACGTGAGTTTCTCCATTCGTGAGCGTTCCCAGCAACCCGTGCAAAGTGTAACAAGCGCGCGCAGCTCACATGTCAACTTCGTCCATTGCCATCTGCTTCGCTGGGCAGTGCCTGCGACACACAACCAATCCACATGACGCCAATGCAGGCAAACTGCTCAAAGCTGCTCAGCTGTCGGCCCCTGTGTTGAAGCTTCAAAGTCATGGGTAGACGTGTAGCCTACATTGCATTTTCGGTCAGGAAACCCTTGACGTGCTATGTGGAGATTCCTAGAGATGTCTAGAGTCTAGCAAGCTGGTGGTGGAAACTTGAATGTAGGTCGTGAGCTGTCTACGCTGTGGATTTCGATGTTTTGACTGTTGAGACTGTTGAGCCTGGAGCTCACGGCTTGGTCAGTGAAAGGAAAGGGACGGGACAGCGACAGCAGAAACCACTTGTGATCAATTGTGGCACCAGCATGTGCTGGCATGACCAGAAAAGTGTGCCCTTTTTTGGGTCATGCTGCAGTATTGCAGTTTGCAAACTTGCAAACACGTTTGCAGCGACCAGTCTTGTTGACGCCGCACCTCACGGACTCATGGATGCCTTCTCGGCCGCCAGCGGGCGGTTCTTCACGTCTGCCGTGATCTTCCAATCTCTGCGGTCTCTGCAGAGTTCTGCAAGAATCTGTAAGCGAGATCATGCGCCCCATGCCTCTACGCCTTGACACATCGAAGTCAGACACGGCCATCATCATGGCAAATGATCACAACTTCGGTTGCTTGGCAGTTGCGATGTCCCGACCATGCTGCGAGGTCAAACTAGACCGGGGCCAGCGAATCTGAGATGGAGGTACGCCTTGAATCGATATCACAGATAGAAAAAACGCTGGAGCCGGTGCACGGATGAAATACACAGCGCAAAGCTGGGGCTGCTTACGGTATACCATCCTGCGCTGATGGAGCGATGCGCCTCAAGAACAAGTACCTCGTTGAGCTTTACAAAATGCTGACGCTAACGCGGCCCAATGCGTCTTGTCCGCATACGCCGATCGAGACACGAAACCATGCCGTGAGAGAGGCTACCGAGGCTACCGCCTAGGGTTCAAGCATGTTCAAGCTCAGATGTTTCTCAGCGTCCCACGCATCCACTCCAGTGCCAGGCACATTCATCAGCTCCAATGAGCCGCCCAGATACCTCCAACAAACAAGCAACACTTACACTAGTCCGAAAGGGTGTCTTGTGAAGTAGATCAGTGCTTGGTTGCAGGAGGCACCTGGCGTAGAGTCTACCAAGAGGCAAACCGACACCCCAGCCAGCAAGCGGACTGCCGCTCTCCAGGTACTCCTCATCGGGATGACTTGCTGTACTTGCACTATGCAACCTCCCTCGTGCGTGAGAACTTGCAGTTGAATGCAAACGACTCCTGGAAAGGCTGCTTTGAAGTTGAAAAAAGGTACGACCAGATCTCGTCTGCTTTGCCAAATGGCGCACCACCACCCTGAATCCACATGCTGAAACGTCTGCCATGGCATGCGGGTGGAATCCATCCATCTTCTCAGGATTCATTGGGCAGGCGCTGCACCAATGGTTGGTTCAACCGCGGAACATACGCCATGTTAAACATGCAGGTTAGTTAAAGGTGATAGTGTATCAAAATGAGGTCCCATCCTCATCCTGCCAGCCCCTTCCTTCAACATTGGTTGCCTTCATTGGCGAAAGTTGCGGGAAGCACTGCCGTGCAAAATCTTCACACCCGTGCTTCTACGGCCTCGTGTGGGTGTCGCCAGAGGCTGAAATCTTTACGTGGCTGAAGCCGCAGCTTGGGCTGCCGGAGTTTCGGATGTGTAGGCCCTGAATTTCACTATGGTCTGAAGAAGTTCTTCACAACTGGCCGTCTTGTGACGATTCTGGTTTCGCCCAACCGCATCCAATGTTCTTCCAGGACAGGGCCTGCCCCCTCAAGCGTTGGAACCGCTTGAACGCAGAAGGCTCAGCTTATTGTCAGCCTTCGTGGGGAATTTGAGTCGACTGTCTGCGCTGAACGTGCCAGTATTCCCATCTTGTGATTCTCCTTCTTGTACAACCATGGCACATCTCGGGGTTGCGGGCACGCGCAACGATGCATGACACGCGGCGCCTGATCTGCTATCCTTATGGCCACCTGCTTCTGGTCTGCGCAAACCTGGCTATAAAGGGGGAGAGTGAGATCTACATATATATATATATACACACATATGTATATATATATACAATTAAATCAATAAAGTATATTGTAATATACATGAACCAAAATATGAAGGCTACTGTGCCAGAGAAAAGGCAGCCAGCGCATCCACATTCCCATGTGGTGTTCCAAACGCATGCCAGGATGACAGTGACAACAATCGGCCTTTGGGACAAGGTTCTTTGCCGATCCATTTCGCAGGCCTTGCAGATTGCAAGAACACGAATCAACAACCCGTGCTCTAAAGAGCCCTCCGGCAGCATTGCATCATGGTTTTACGATGGCTCTAAGGTTGGGGAAGGCCACCGCGCTCTACAAAAAGCTTCTACAAAAAGCCCGGGGGGGGGGGGGGCAATTGAGCCGACTCCGAACCTCCCGTAACTACCCTCGACATCACCTTGTGCATTCTACCCGACTCTGCCCTTCTGTTCTTTCCGTGTACATCTGTGTACCTCTCGTCTCAATCCATCTTTCTCCGTGTGTCGCCTCGACCGTTGCCCGGGCACTATTCTTGATCAGCTCCTGCCAGACCAGACGTCTCGTCTAGAGTCCAGTTCCATGACACGGCGAAGCTATGCCGAGCTCCTGGACAATGTAGAACAAATACTTTGGAATGTAAGAGAACTCGATGGCAGATAGCGAGCCGGAGTCAGAATGCGAGTGAACCTCGACGCTCAGGTTGCCGGCAACTTGCCTGATGCAAAGAGACAGTTGCAGTATGATCAGGATGCTTGACTATGCTTGACTGAACCTTTTGCATTGTCAAATGTTTCAGGCCTCGTCGGATTTGCATACATCGCCTGAACGGCTTTGGCAGCCTTGTCGTGAGCAAAGGGGTTTTTCGTTTTAGGGCATGTGGCATTGGAGCAAGCCGCAAGCCTCCTCGCAGATTCTGCCAGGGTTGCACTTGGTATCAACAATGCCAATGTGGTCATCACCTCAAAAAAAGACCAGCAGCACAACCGTCTTGCTTACGCTTGTGTGCCCCTTGTTTGCTTGGCACGAAACTCAGCAGCTGCTCGGCCTCATCTCCATACAAGAAGCTCCCAGAAGGAGACGCAACTAAGAAAGCAGCTGCAGTGCTCCAACTCTGGGTGCTGGACAGACGGGTCGTGAGAATCCACAACTGCCATGTAGTGGGAAGTGAGCCTTTCTCTGAATCAGCAGTGGTTGCCATGCCTCTGCGCCCTCCGCCCGCCTGCCCTCCGCCCGCCCGCCCTTTGCACGCACGCCCTACCCGCGCTCTGCACACCTTTCGCACTCCGCAATGCCAGGCGACATCTCGGTGGAGATTCGGGAGAGCAAAAAGGTGTCAGCCCACGACCTGTCAGGAAAACGCAGGAAACTCGGTTTTTCTCCAGGTCCATCCAGTACACTGCATGGGCTCTGCATGAGAGCTGGGCTGGAAAGCGTCGCCCTCCATCCAAGCGGCATCGCCATGTGTCATCTTGCGAATGGCCTCGCTTTTGATGGCTTGGGCTACAAGAGAGACTATGCAATGAATTCTCAGAGTTGAGTGCGCTGACCCGCCTCAGCAAGTAACGCAACGACAGGTCGATGGCGCTTCCGAACACTTCGGATGACCTTCCGTCAAGCAGCACTTGCATCCTCCCCACAAGGCCCATCCCAAGGCCCGGCCCGAGGCGGACCTCCGTGTACTCGTTCAAGTCTGACACTGAGAGCGGGCACTCCTGATTGCATCCATGAAGCTGGCCTTAGCCTTGCATCTAGCTGATGAAAGGGGACTGGTGTGGAAGGAACCATGAAGTGGGAGTGAACAGAAGCCGAGGGACCCGCACCTGCAACCGCTCTGTATTGTGAACACCACAGGACACACAGCTTGTCGAAAGCCAGGAGACTAACAGGTCTAAAGTATCTTTGTACGGACACTGCCCCGGTCAACACCATCCGGTGGTGACTGTTGTTGCTATGGTGGTTGTTTTTTTCTGCTTGTTCTTCTTCTTCTGTTCATGTCATTTTTGTTGTTCTTATTCCTGTCGTTCACCGCGCAAGCCCTTCAACTAGGCGCCAACCCGTACCAACAAAACCTCGGCCTTAGCCTTGGCTTCGTTTGCGTTCACATTTACTTAACGGTCTATACACGGCTCTCCTCGGTCCCTGGAGGTTCAGCCATTCGCAAGTCGCTGAAGGAATCGAGGAAAATCTCGTGCAATTGCCTAGCCAAGGTCTACACATCAACATTCGACATCAACACCCTGCTGTGTCATGCCTACGAGTTTCGGATTCGAGCGACAGCTCTGAGGCGCAGTCCGCAGCTCGAGCTGTTCTTCCCAGCCTGTCACTGCCTGTGAATTCCAAATGCTTCTTGGCTGGTTCAGCTGTTGCCCGGGCCTGCTTCATTCCTGACTCGACATTATTGAAGGCGGCTGTGGGGTTTGGGGTTTCGAAGCTACTCGCTGCAAGTGCTGGCTGCAGGTGCGGGTGTAAGGCTAAGGCAGGTTGGCTTCAGGGTCCTAAAGCACCCCCAAGGAATCGCTTCGACCTTCCGATTTCCCATTGACCCCCTTAATTATGCTTAAGCTTAAGCCATCTTGGCCCGGATCCCTCTCTCTTCTGACGAGGGGAACTGGAAGCGTATCCGACAAGGGTAATTGTATTGCATCGCGTCATGTTCTGGTCCGCATTTCAAATTCCGTTCCGTGCGGCATTGCGGGCGCTGACCACTGGGAATGCCCAGCTGATGCTGATGATGCTCGCTCTCTTGGCCGGTCAAGCACTGCAAGGGCCCAGCTGATGTGCATGATGTTCGCGCTTTGGCTGACGCAGCACCGGGAATGCCCAGCTGATGCTGACGATGCTCGCTCTCTTGGCCGGTCAAGCACTGCAAGGGCCCAGCTGATGCGCATGATGCTCGTTGCTTTGGCTGTTGCGGCACAGGGAATGCCCAACTGATGCTGATAATGCTCGCCCTCTTGGCCGGTCAAGCACTGCAAGGGCCCAGCTGATGCGCATGATGCTCGCCGATTTGGCTGGCACAGCACAGGGAATGCCCAGCTGATGCTGATGATGCTCGCTCTTTTGCCCGGTCAAGCACTGCAAGGGCCCAGCTGATGCGCATGATGCTCGCCGCTTTGGCTGTTGCAGCACAGAGTGGGGTCAACTCGCAACATCTGGCCAAAATACGCGTCACCCGATGTGGACACTGCACGTCGGTAGCGTCGATGGTGAGAGCTCACAAATCACCAACGCTGACCTGTAGACGGTGTTTACAACAATTTGGAGTGCCTGTTGACAGCAAATGCACATAGACTTTACTCGAACGCCCTGTCGGTCGAGCAAGTGCGATTCCCCCAATGTGGCCTCACCGACAAGTCGAAAGCGATAGCCTGTCTTCGATGTGGCTGCCTAGAGTTCCACAATGTGGACACTCCCCATGCGTATATTTACCGATTTACCAGCCGATGCGAGATAAAGCTACCACACGGTACCACGCCAACAGCACCAGGATCGTGGGACAGGTGTGGCAACTGACTGGCATTGCTAGGACATGCCTCGATGTGCTGGATGCGCGCAGCAAATCGGAAAGGCAGTTCCTTCGTTGGGCAGGATGCCTACGCAGTCAGTGAGTTAGCAGGGTGCAAGCCTCTCCTTGTGCACCAGCCGTGCGACTTTCCCTGGAGTCGACGCTTCGACAATCTGTTCCAGACTCAGCGCCTTCCGCAGCACTTTTCAGCACAGGTCGACCGCTTGGTCCGCAACAGGTCACAAGATCGACGCTTCTCGTTTTAGCCGTACAACGCTTAGCTTAACCGGCCTGTGTGTGCTGCGCAGCGAAGTAGCTTAACTCAGCCCGGATGAACTCTTGTAGTCGTGCTTGTGAAACGGTCACCTTGCAGCGGTACAACCGCAACAAGGAACTACAAGCTCTATTCCGAGTGCACCTGCGAGAAACATCTTCCAGGACGTAGTGCTTGCACATGCTTCATGACAGAGGTCGTCACCTGGGCCATGGTTGGATTCGATTGTGACCCCGAATCTCTGCAAAGTGCTCCAGCACTTGTATGGATCAAAGGCCCCGGCTGACATCCATCGGTTCATGTGAAAGTATCATACCAACCGGACCAGCTACTTTGAGGCTCATCACTGCGTTGTCCACACCCATGCAGTCATAGCGATGCCCAACCCACTTCCAACATTGCAGTGGGACGCAATTGAGAGTTTTTGAAGAATGGTTTCTTTATGTTTAGCTGCAAGCTGAGCCTCTTATTGCCCAGGCTCTGTACACCCCGGCTTGGAGACCACCTAGTAGTGAAACGCGTAACACATCCAAATCACGGGCAATGTCACTCCCCATCTCCGCTTTAACCTGCAAGCTGAACCGATCCGCTCGTGAAAAGCGAAGAAGCAAACGTGGTCCTTCCCCTCCTGGCTCCGAGAGCGTTTGGAGCTGTATTTCGCGCACTGTCGGATCATCGGCCGCAGGCCCCCTGGCAAAGTGAGAGAGCGAGAGCGAGAGGGAAACAGCGAGAGAAAAAAGAGAGAGAGAGAGAGAGAGAGAGAGAGAGAAAAAAAAGAGAGAGAGAGAGAGAGATAAACATGCCATTAGCATTGGAGCGATGGGGCTGTTGCATGCAGGAAGCCCCATCTGTCATTGGTGCGTGCGAGGGGCGAACATGAGCGGCATGGGAAGGAAGGATGCCTAATGATTTGTTTCTGTTCGGGCTGGCGTTTGTAAAATGCTGTGCATCATGCCTATCCTTCATTATCTTATGTGATCTCGGGGGCGTTTTCGCAGCACTCTCCACTCCTAGGGATCCGAAGATTCTTCTTTGGGAATCGGGATGGCCGTCCCACTCCCCTTGATAAGTGGAAACTCAGTCGGGGGCCCAAATAGTTTGCGCGGGGTCGTGCAGAAGTTCGACTCAGTTGCTTGCCATCTTTCGGGCACTGTTGGTTCTGGAAAACGACAAGATGCTGGCCCAGGCTGAATGAAGCTTGGGATTTCGAACCTTGTGGAAGGTTGACAAATGTTGAAAGTCTAGGGTTTCAAGAGCAAGGACCATGAAAGACCAGCAAGATGAGGCGTAGGTGTACCTGAGCCCCACAGCCCACGACATAAGCTGATGCAAGATCCACCTGGTAACTGCCGAAGCTTGTGCTGTGTCTCGCCGTCGGAGGATCGCCAGCAGGACGAGCTGTGCAAGAAGGGTATGCGCGTTGGTGGTTCTCCTGCTACCATTTTTTGCATGACGCAAAGTTTGCGCGGTGCCGTTGCCTGCAGAACTGAGAGCTCATAAAGAGCAATGATGCAGCAAAGGACCACGTCGCCCGCCCAGAACTGCCGAAAGCAAAACGATGGCAAGTAACGATGGCACACGAAATGCGCCAAATACACTCTTCTCACACAGAACATGTTTAAACAACGTTGTGCAGCTTTGCTCGAAGCCCCCCCCCACCCCTCGGGTGACGATCAGGAGGCATGCCACGACGATGGCCACAATGAGCTGTCGCGGCCGAGAGGTGGACGGATGGAGAGAAAGAGACTGACATCAAATGAGATCAAATCTGAGATGGGCGCCACTCCGAGGTAAATGACCAGTGCAATGCAGGTTCGCCTGACTATCAGCTGAGTATCATGGAGTCATGGTGTCATGGAGACGTGGAAGCATTTCAATGGAGAAGCGCTCTTTCTGGGTGCAGTGCGTGTCAATCAAATCTTCCAACTGTGCTTCTGGATCCTCTGACTCTCACAGGGTGATCACAGCAACGATATGCACCGTGCGACAAAGTCTCAATCCTCGTCCGAATCATCTCTGCGGTTTCCCAGCGCAATGAGCCGTCCGAGCAAGCTGTTTTCACCTTAGCTCTAGAAGGCCTGTTGCAAGCATGCTACTCCGCAGCCTTCTGCACCAGCAATCGCCTTCTCCTCGTGCTGCTGAGGCACTAGGCTCCCCTCCACACATCAACTCGTTCATCCAGGAGAGGCCGTTCTTCAGATGCATGCAGGAACTTTTGCAAGGCACGTCCGCAGGAATGCGAAAGTTTGCACTACAGTGGCATGCGCCTCCTCTCCTTCCACCATGGCGGTTCCAGACTTGCAGATGGTGCAACGCAGCATGTGGCTGGTCTGCATGCGGAGCCTGACAGCGTTGCGTTGAGTCATGTCGAGCTTAATTTCTGTGTCAGTCTTGTGTTGAGTCTTGACCCTTCTTCACTTGAACATGGTGGTGATCCAAGTAACCCAAGGAGGTGGGAGCGCAAAGCTGTCCGGTGCTGGTTGTTTCGCCACTCGCGCCAACAACGTCGATGTGTACCTCTCTTTCCCAGAGCCAGCCAGATGCAAACTACGCTTTGCTTCTTGGTGCAAGAGACCTCTTCAGTGTTGAGGGTTTCAAATGCATGAAGCAGTGGATTCGCGCACGTGCGTAGCATGTCGAGCAGCATGAGACGAGAGGGTTGTCCTTGTCACTATCCTGTTGCCAATCGCGAGATTCTGCCATTTCTTAACGCCTTGCATGCCAGCGAGCCACGAGCCTGTAGGCAAATGAAGCAATTCCTGCAAAGTAAGAGCAGTCTGTGAAACCATGCAGTCCACAGAGTACTTTACAGCCGACGTCCTGTCATCACCCGGTCGCACAGCTTGCGATGATGCTGCTGCAGACACCTGCTGATCACTGTGAGCAATAGTATGTTTTGTTGATCCTTACAGGATCTCAGGGGAGCGTTTGCATGGCAGCAAAGTGCAAAAACATGCCAAACCGCAATCCCACAGGCAATGCAAGGCGTGCCACAGGCAAGAGCTCCCGGGACTGATCAACCTGGCTCCAATATCCACATCGCCTTCTAATCCTTCTATCTGTGCAGATTCATGAGCAATCTCTGCGCCCTGTGCGCCTCCTCCATGTTTCGCATCTCTATTGCTACAGCTGCGGTCACAGCGGTCTCTCCATCTCTCCTGGCAGGTTCGCCCGGTCGCCTGGGGAAACGCATCTGTCTTGGAGTCTCCGAATGCACGGCATGCATGCTCTGCCTACGGCTATGTACCCGTATGCTATTGTTGTATATACCATTCTATGGCCCGAGTGACCGTTTGGCGTCATCAGCAAACCTCCTGTCTGACGGCCGATCATCATTGAGCGCTTCCTGCCAGAGTCCGTGCCGTGGAAGAGCTTCTACATATTTCATATTTCTACATCTGCACAGGCTGTTCCGGCACTCACAGCGGCCGCCTCGTTCCGGAGAAGGTGCAATACGCCACCGCTTGGTTCTATTGGCGTCTCAGATCCTTCTTTCACGCGTCCGAACTTCCTATTCATCCTTCACTTGCGAGATCTTGCGGGTCCTGCTGCATCTTGCTCAGCGGCACCACCCTGCTCGGAGACCACCCAAGGATGGGACGCAACTGGCACAAAGGGGGCTCCAGCACAGCGCAGCCTGGAGAAGCGCGTAGCTTTCGTGATCTTCTTGTGCACGCTGGCCTCCAGCTAGAGAAGAGACTTCAGTACAGAGATGTACAGAGACTCTCAAACCAGCAGCTGCGTAAGCTACGTTTGGAGCAGTGTCTAAGGTCTAAGGCCCTTGGATGGTTTCTATGTGTTTCTATGCTTTTCGCTGCTTGTTGGACTATGCGCTATGGCCGCTATGGGTCACTTTCCTCCTCGAGGCGCCCTCGCAGGTTCCCCACTGTCCTCGCAAAGTCCGCAAGGTGGCACTTTGTCGACTTGATTCCCAAGATCCAAGAACACGGGAATACTCAAAGCGCACCTCTTCTAGCAGTGGACGCTTGCTCAAGGCTTCTGTGCCCGTGTCCATGTCAGGTACCAATGGAGATTGCTCTGATGTCTGTACTTGGGATGGGCTGGAAGACGTCTCTCAGCATGCCGAAAACAAGCTATGTGATGCACGGGGGGTCGAATCGGCTGTTGAACCATGAGCCATGGTGGCTTGAGCCAAGGTGCACGAAGTAGAACCAACATCGGTTTCGAGCTAGCCCCGAATTGTGTGTTCGGCCTTCACAAGCGCTAGTTTTCTCGGCTTTTTTAGCTTGGAACTTTCGTCCAGAGCAGCACCGCTGCATTCACCACTCAGAGACCGCTGCACAATCCTGGCGTCATCCACTGAGTTGGCCAGCAAACAGCCAGTAGGAAACTGGAATGGACATCACGCTGGCCGAAGCGCCGCTCCTCGCGACCCCTTGCCAACGACGCGTATACTACACATGCGCTCTGGAGATCAATTGCTCCATGGAAAAAACGCTGGATGGGCACATAATTCAGAAAGTCCGCAGACTTACTCGAACACGGGGACCGCTACGTATATACAAGTCAGTGCAAGCGCACTGGGTCACAAGCAGGGAGATAGTCAGCTCGAAACCCTAACCAAAGTTCACTGCCCGTGGAAGTTGGACTGACGTGGCAGCACTTCACATGCTGTCACGTCTGGAGAACATCCCTGCCTGTCAGGAAAGGCAACTGGCAAGGCCGAGAAATGAGCCCTGTGCTAGGTCGCGAGCGGCTTATGGTGCCAGGCAATATAAACAACAGCTGCAGGGATCACATCAATCTATGTGGAACGGGGTGCATCTCCAACTGTTGAACGAAGACATACGAAGACTGCACAATCCATCTCAGAGGAGAATAACGACAAACTATACCATCTCTGCCATCTCTCAGCAGGACGAACACTTCTACAAACAGTATGACAGTCTTTGGAGAACCTTGGAGTTTCGAGTTCAGATGCGTCGCCCCACCTCCAAGGATGACATGACATGTCAAAGGACGGAGGTGAGTCTGTGAAAGTTTGAGGCCTTGTGATGCCTTGTGGCGAGTTAAGGCGGCGGTTGCCTGGATGCCCCGGGCGACTTGCGGCAGATGTTTCGCAGATGTTTCGAATGCTGGGGGCTATGTTGTGTGTGTGTGTGGGCGTGCGTGCGTGCGTGCGTGCGTGCGTGCGTGCGTGCGTGCGTGCGTGCGTGCGTGCGTGCGTGCGTGCGTGCGTGCGTGCGTGCGTGCGTGTGTGTGTGTGTGTGTGTGTGTGTGTGTGTCTCTCTGTGTGTGTGTGTATTTTGCAATCGGGACTAGAGACATCCCCAAAGTGTGACAGGCCGGAAGATGTCCTGCCTTGTGACTGAGCTTCCCAAATAGGCACTCTCAATGCCTAATGCCTCACAATTCACGGCACTGTGGTATCATGTTTGCAACTGCACCAATAGCTGCCTTGCCTTTCAGACGGTAATGACTCGGCATCGTCGTTCACCTGCAGGGCAAATACTGTTATTATCTCACCCGTGCAACTCCTGCCAGATGCGGCAGACCATGTCTTCAACCTTATGGCATGTCGTTGCACGGAGCTGTCACACACTGATTAGAGTCCAGTCTCGGCACAACATCTTTCGAACCTCCGTGCTGACTTCGGACACGCTTTGCATGTCGCTTGCCAGAACGTGAACCTTTGCATCCAAAGTTGTGAAGGCTAGCGCAGAACAAAACACAGTATAACACAGTGCCCACACAGGTGAGGAAAAAGTGGAAGAATCTGGAATGAAGCCGTTGCAAAGCGTCGCCAAGCACCAGACAGCAACTTTTGCTATTGTGTAGCCAGAGGTGTCCTTCGCATCTCTGCCCATACAGCATGCCTACAGCATACAGTACTCCTACATCTCATACTTACCAACTTTTCTTCATGATCATTTATGCAACCGAGACTGGTGCAAGCCTTGGCTTTCTGGAGTGTATTCTCCTGCACGAATTGTTTAAAGGAGCACATCGACCACGAAGGTCCAGAAAGAGGCGCGTGCGCCGGGCCTGGAATGGATACCTTCGAAGCACCTGGCAACAAAAATGCAGAGCATGCCAACGCCAATGTGGGGCCACCACCTCATCTCGCCCTTGCGTCGCTGCAAAGCTCACCTGTTGCCCCATAGTTTGCTGTTTCGTGTCATAATTTGTCAGAATTTGTCATAATGTCACGAGACAGAGCGTGCATCCCTGTGAGCCAACATTCGCCGGTTCGGCAGCTGCAGGCATGATATTGCCCCACTGTCGTCCATGAAAGAATTTCGCCACCAACTTGACGCCTAGTGGAGAAACCTGCAAGCCGCATGCGCCCCTAGCGCAAGCTACTGATGCAATTCGCTATAATTCGCTGCATGATGCTGTGCAGGCCGGGGTGCCGCATTAACCAAAGCTGTGCCCAACCGACGGCGCGTGCTGGTGAAAGTGCGGAAGATGTCCACGTGCTAGCAGACAAGACGAGCTTTTTGCCAGAAGATGAAGCAACTATCGTTGTCAGCAAACTCCCACCTCTGCCAAGTCCGCATCTTCCAGCAGAAGATGAAACCTGGATTCTTTGCACCTTCGGAGTGGGCGGTGAGGTGCCCTGCATTGCCCTGCACTGATTCAATGACAGCCAATGGCCCCATTCAAGATCTCGTGAGAAGCCGGCAGCTTGGCAGGCACGCCGGTGATTCTCAGCGTGCTGCGCGTCTCCTTGCCGCTGTCCAGATGTGCCCAGACAACCTGCGGGTTAGTCCAGCATGGTCCAGCCATTTCATCAAGGATATGCAGCTTGGCAACCACTCATTGGCGAACTGACGAGCCTCCGAGATCCCAAGATCATTCAGGTATTTCGGCGCTGTTGGAGCTTTGTCAGCTTTGATCGCTGGAGCGACGTAGGCCTTTCATGTGGTCTCAGGCATGCCATGCACGAAAAGGGCATCCTGCTGTCACACCAAACCCATTGATTCAACGCCTTTCTGGTCTTCGACTTGGGCTCTTTGACACCAAACTGCGCATTCACAGCGAGCAGCTTGCCAGCAGGGTGCAACAATGTGGCATCACATGTGATTACAACTTACTACAATGCTTCAATTGACATCAACAGACTACATATCATGGCATATGGCTTGTCGGCCACCTGCAGTGCTAACTTTGCTGCAGTTCGAACATCGCAACAATGGGCATACCTCGCAGGCTGATCACAATGGCTCGGGCGCTCATCACTAGCTCTTCGCGCACGTGTTGCCGATCTCTTCGATGTGACATCCCGTTGCCTGACCATGCAGCAAAGCAGCAAGCTCTACAATAGTTGCGTTGCGATTTCCAAGTGTGCGAGCATTTGTAAGTATTGGTGACTGTTCACTAGACTGCAGCTGCTCCAATCCTTTCTGGTTCGCAGAACCCGATACGATTATGGACATGAACCAGGCTGCCAACTGCTCTCTTGGGTCATGGAAGAGATGGTTCATGATTGCTCAAGTCAATTGGATCAGGCTTGACCTCCTTGAAAGATTTAGGCTAGAGTCCAGCTTACATGCACATGCCGTCTGCAAATGAAGCCCTCAGCCGCTGAGCCTCGTTTGGAAGATGGACATAGCACTGGCCATACTGTGGCTCCTTTGCAGGCACCGGCAAAACGTGGACAACATCAAGCAACTGGCTGTGGCGCTCCATGGAGCATCGATCAGAACCGAGATGTGCAGCAGCATGTAAAGCGCACCGATAGTCGTAGTAACTCACGACCTGCAGCACAAACAGCAGAATGACATGCACGTTGGGTAGCGGCTATGTGCGAGTGCTGAAGACTTGGCCACGCTGTCGGGCTCGTCTGGCCTTGCCAATGTGAGAAATTCGGCCGACTGGCTTGCTTGTTGTGATTGTAAGCCCTAAAAACAGCTTGTAAGGCTGCGAGTCTGGTAAGGGCTGCTCAGCAGCTCAAGGCGCATAATCTCTCCGAATGGAGCCAGCTCCTGCCAGATTGTGCTCGCAAATCAGCTCATCAGGCTTGCATCAGAACACATCAGGGCTCCTGAAACGCCTGGTGGACAGAGACAGGTTCGGAATAGCGGCCAGCCTGATCCAAACGTTGCATGGAACGAGGTAAAACGGGCGAAGGTTGAAGCCAACGATTGGGCCTCCATGAAACAAACTTTCAGGGAATTGGAGACCTCCGTCACCTCCATCATCACCTCAACCTGCGTGGAGTACGTGCAAAAGACTGAAGTTGAGAACAAACCTTGCTCACGCGCCAGCCTCGAACCAGTGCTTTACTGCAAGCTTGAGCCAAAGGGCTCCGGACGATAGCCAACTAACAGGAGATGCAAGCGCGCTGATCGTGGACCCGGCAGAGCACCGGTGTGCCTTTAGTAAATCACTCAAGCAAAGGAAGCCCCTAAAATATCCCTAAAATCCCCAAAATGCTGTTAGTTCTTCCTGTGCTACTGCCGCCGCATCACCAGTGACCTCCTCACTGTGACAATCCGCCACATTGCTCTTCCTTCCTTCCTTCCTTCCAGTTCGCTCGTTCGCTCTCTCCCTCTCTCTCTGTCTCTCACCCATTTTTTGTTTGGTTGTTGTTCTTTCCCTTCTTTTCCTCTCTTGAGCATTCTACTCTCTTACTAACTAAGCTCAAATGAGAACACATCTTGACCATCTTAACCCTTAACAATGCCAAATCAGCGGGCATGTGGCAAAGTCCCAACAGAACTTTTCTCCTTCAGCTGCAAGCCTGGGCTTGAGCATAGTGTCTGAAGGAAGCAAGGGCGGCAGGCGTGTCCTTCAGGGCTTTCTTGTCTTTAACGTGATCCCAGCTGCACTTTCGCTTGGTCGCCACGCCGTGCCTCTGCCCGAGCTGCCGCAGACGCTATGGAGGCCACGGCCTTAGCATCTATGCCCAGATTCGCAGATGATCCTAGGGGCGCTGAGTGAGGCTCACCGAAAAGGGGGGGGATCTTCATTCAAGATCATTGAAGCGTTCTAATGCTTTCTGACTTGAGAGGAAGGCTTCCATCACCTTGCGCCTGGTCGCATCTATCCTGGAGTTCAGAGTGGATGTGAGAGGCCCGGCCGCATTTATCCGACATCTTGCTACGCTCCCCACATGTCCTCTCACTCGCTGCAGCTTTCTCACCGATCCGCTTCACCTGAGTGCAGTGCTGGTAGCTGACTTCCGTGCAGAGCACGAGTCAAAGATGGTGAACCCCTTATGGTTCTGAGTTCTGAGTGTAGGGCAGCGTGCGCTGCTAGAGGCCACCGGCTGCTCGAAGCCTCATGCTCGTGAATCGAAATGATCTGCGGCAGAACCGGCACAGAACTTGAACTTGCAACCGACCAAAGCCCGGCCTCCGCAAGCCCACTCAACTCGAGAGTCCAGCGAAGCTCAGGATATGGAGACAGCAGCTCCTGTCGCATCTCGAAATGAACTACTGCAATCGGCCAAGCTTCAGCTCGCATTGCCTTTTCTGTGACAGCCTCACACTTCACAAGGCTTCGCGGGTTCCACATCGTCCTCCAGCGTCTCGCTTGAAGGCGGGAAGAGGCGCAGCAGCCGGAAAAAGAGCGGATGCAGACGTGGATGTTGAAGACCTATCCGCTTGCACGTGCATCAACTGCTGTGTTCTGGCACAGGAACTTTGTGAGCTTCTGGCAGTACGTGAACGCATGCGGGCGGAAAGTCTCAGAAGCTGCCATGTTTTCGTCAAGGCCTGGAAACGCAGATGCCACCTCTTGAATGATCTCGAATGCCCATAGCCCACTGCTGTTTGAAAGCAACGAGCAAGTGGGCACTCCTTTTCGGATCTTTTCACTTCATCACCAGCATGCCCGTCGTGATGCAGAAAGTACGATCCTTTTTTGATCAACATTTCCTGAAGGTAATTGCCCAAGTCCGGCGCGCTTGACATCTGCATTGGCAGCCAGCTTGATGAAGAGCTGCGTGCAAACCAACGCTGGCGATGCGACAGTCTGCTTGGTACACAAGTTTCGCATCATTCGCTTGGTTCGGGCCTCCAGGTCCTCGAACCTCAATGTTTCACCATGTTGTGACATGCACCCCGCATCATCCTGCCATCCTGCTTTCATATGAGCAAGTTGAGAGCCAGGCTCTTCTGCAAACTGAAGTGTCCGCAGTTGTGAGCAGGAAACGGTTGCTTTTTCCGCCAGGCAAGCCTCGCAAGTTGCCAGTGCAGCTTGATTCGTCAGAGTCAGACGCAGTGAAAGTGACAAACGGTGGTTACCGGCGGTTGCGTCTCGTTGGGTGCCTCTGCGTCTGCCAAATGGGACAGGACCTCGTGCCGGACTTTGGCCTCATGACTCCCAAGTGGGCGAAGTCGAACAGAAAAAGCAACCGATGTCCCTGAGAATCTTCCAGGAGCCCGTTGAGGTGACGGCCATTTGTGTGCAGTGAAGGTCACAGAAGCTCGCCTTCTGCTTCCAGGATTTACAGTCTTGCCCATCTTTTGCCATTGCTTCCAGTGAATGTGACTCCGAATGGTGCTGCTAGATGCTGCCATGTACGGTTTGCTGGAGTAGGTGCCAGGCGTATGCTGCCAGGAGTGTGCAGCGACACAGCTGCTGAAGACCTTGTACCACTCGAATGGCCTTCAATGCGCAAGGGAACACCCGTCACTGCATACATCTGCATCTCAGGGTCGTATAGAAGATTGAAAAACATGTATCGTAAAACGTATCGCGTAAAAAACCGCGTAAAACATTATGAAAATGAAAAATGAGGTCCGAAAGGTCCAAGGCCGACCCACCTGTGCGTCAAGAAGCGGGAGATGCTGCCGCGGAAGTGTAGGTAGGACCTCCAGGCCTGGCGAATTTCGCTTCAAAAGATGTGCGCGGCTTGTCTTGTAAGATTCTTTGAAGATGTTCGGACGTCACGCTTCGTTAACCCCAAGCTTGAAGAAACAATGGATCCGAATTACCTGGCCCGTACCAGAAACACGGGCCGACAACAACGTGAATATTGAGGTGAACATGGAACATCCTCGAATATTGTCACTTGCTTATATTTGCTTCAGCGCATTCTCTCTGAACTTCACAAGTCTAGTCTGAGTCTAGTCCTGCCTTTCTTGACCGTTTTCTGTTACCACAGTTTCTTGACTTCATTACCGACATTGCCGAGTTCGGCTCGAGGCCCTAGGGACGGCGCTCACGACCCGGAGGTCTTCAAGAGCCCTCTGGACGGAAAGTGCCATCAGCCAACCTTGGCTATTCAAGCTGTCGAAGCAACATGGATTTCACTTCTGATAAATGGGCTTCCCGAGAACGCAGCCACTTCCTACAGCTGATGACGGAACTCGACCGTGCCGGGTCACCAAGTACCTCCGCAACGCAGTGCAAGCCAAGCCATGGCTGCGGCCATGCCATGTGCGCAGGTTTCACCTCCGTAACATCTGAGGCTCTGCAGCTGGCCTTGTGACCCGAAAGGTAGAATGAGGCAACGCGCAGGACATGCACAGAGGTTTCTCCAATCTTAGCTCGCATCAGTGCCATGGGATGTGCGGCCAAGACTTGTGATCTCTTCTCCTGGCACAGAGTCAAGCCTCGATATCAAAGAGTGCGCCCTGGGAACGGTAGAGAGCCCTCAACCCACACTTAAGCTTTCTGGGAACAGGGAGGGTAATCCCCACACCAAGTAACTTCGCCAATACATGCCAGCTTTGCCAAAGCTGCGTCCAAGAAGGCGCAGACGACCGTTTGGACGAAGATCACAGCGTCCCAGGCGCCGCCTGAACCTAAAACAGCGAGACTTAAGTCATCTTGGGTCCGAGACTCCCCAAACTTGCAAAGCCCTTACACAGCTATTCGATGCCTGCCTCCCCGCTCCAACCATCCCCAATCCCTTCACCAATCTCTTGAATTTTGAATGATTTGAACATTTTGATCTCCATGACCGTCCCCTTCCTCCGAAATCCTGGGCACCTGGCCAAATGGCAATGTGCGGGGATACTCAGCCAAGCTTGCCAGAAGGCGCTCGCAGCTGCTCAGGCCTTGACTGAAGACGGAACAGAGGACCCGGGTGACGTCAACAGACTGCTCTGCTCTCACTCTGCTCTGAAATTTCTGGACCTTCGAATGCTAGGCTCAAGCCCTACAGTGAGGCGGAGACAGCTGTAAAACACTCGGCTGTCATCTTCAGAACCTTCGTCGGCGCCTTTGGGAGGGGCACAGCATAGAACGTGCGGAGGAACTATGGGGTGGGCCACAACAAATTTACTCGTGCCTTTGTCCAGGGCATTGTGTATTGCGCTGGCCTAGGCGACCAGCAATGATTAGCCGGCCCCAGCTCTCAAGGTAAGGATCACCGTGACTATAGGCGAATGGGCGCACTGCGAAGACATCAGGTGCTGTGTCGTGATACTCGAGCAATCGAATTGCTGCTGCGGCTCGCTCACAAGCCTGCTCGCAACACCCCTCTGCACTTGGTGTCAACAATGGCAGCGTCACTGGCCTCGACCACCTTCTGTCGGGCTGACGTGATGTTCGGAGCGTTTCCCATGCGGATCCAAATGCCGACCTCTCCGGGCTGCGCTTCGATGTCCACGGCGCGCATGTATGTGGGGTTCGATTTTCCAACGTCTCTGCGCATGTCTTTCTGCGCATGTCTCCCTTCTCAGCAGGCACCTTCTCCAGAAACTGCAGCCAGCGTCCCAGGCTACGCGCTTTGGTGATGAGCATTTGCCTGAGATCAAGCTGTTCGCCTCAGTGTTCGATCTTGCATCTCAAGCAACCTATCTCCTCGCGAAAAAGAGCGAACCCCAAGTCTACTATGAATATCCCTCAAATACAGTCTCCAGAAAGTGTCTCAAATGAGGAGAGGGCGCCCAGTCCTCTTCGGGCTTGTGTCTGCATCCAGGAGTTGCAATGTTCGTTGCTCAACCTTGACTGCCACAAGCAGCTGCATGTGGAATGCTGTCAAAGGCAGATGCGTCGCCGCAGAAATCGCAGAACAATCAGCAGTTTTGGAGGCCACCACGACACTCTACTCAATTTCTTGAGACATCGCTCACCTGCAGCTCTCTGTCTTGAGTTTGTTCTCGCGCGTCCCTTCAGAAGGAGGAGGTGGTCCTCAACGGTTGTCTGCCATTCACTTCTGCGGGTGTAAGTCTTACGTTTCGGAGTAGATCCTGTTGCTGTCAAAATTTTGCACAACGTCTGCCGAACTTCCCCCCGCCCTCCCTGTAGGCTGATTGGCTGAGGTGGATTGCCTTTTCCATGTCTGCAACGAATGTCTATAACGGAGCCTGGGCGAACGCAGCTAACGCATGTTTGTTGATTCCCTCGGCCTGGGCCGCTACATGGCAGACATGGCACAGGGTTTCAAGTATTTCAAGCTCATTTGTGCTTGCGGTCAGTCTTCGTATGTTGGGCACTTCAGCTGCAGCACAGGCGCTGCAAGAAGCATTGGCTGAGCTCCGACTTGTGAGAAAGCTCTGACCGATATGGAGATCGCCTGGTCCTGCGCGCAGAGCATGCGGCGCAGTTGCACAAGAGCATTGCAAGAAAGATTGCACAAGGAATCGCACACCGCGCACAGCATGCATTGCTGGAGATCTCGGCCTCCTGACCAGCATCGAAGAGTTCGTAAGCCATTTGAATGAAGGCATCCGCCGTGGAAGGCAGCTCATCCTCCACAGGATTCACTGCACAGCATCACATGGCATCTATTGGCATCTAAAAATGCTTTGCAGGCACCTTGCCATTGGCCAGCATATCCTGCGAGCAGCAGTCGCAGCTCTTAGCCTCTAACTTGTGAGGATCCGCGAGACTTTGCTGATTCGACATGTTTCACCAATCAGGTCCTGCGGGCAACTGAGTAGGCCGTGAGGTGTCAACACCTCGACCACGACAGCTTTCAAGTCGCAACGACGCTGATTCAGCATGCCAGAGACGGCCTGTTCGCCTTTGACGCAGTAACTGCACATGCCCGAACTTCGCACCCGAACCCAGCTGAACCAAAAAATGACAATGCAGGACGCAATGCACACCAACCCTGAGCACATTGGGCGGAGGATCCAGCCTGTAAATGGGCAGCACCGATGCCTTCTGGAAGCAGTAGCAATCCTTTCCACACGTGCAGAACGGGAACGGGGCACCGCACATTGTGCTCGCAACAGCTGTCGGCGGCAAGCGCCTAGAATACCATACTCTACCATCTGACTTACCTTGGCTCAGGTATGCAGCATGTGAACCTCTTGACAAATCTTCACAGCACTCTGAACTCCAGAAACTCAGGTGTCCACCCCAGCTTGCAAGCGCTGTCCGGCAATGCCAACCATGCAGATGGCAAAGCGCTCATCTCCCTCGGCCTGCCAGGGTTTGGGCAAGGCCAATGTGTGCCGCCTTTGAGATCCTATGAGTGTCTAGGCCTTGACCGCGCACACCGCAATGTCGCCAAAGGCAGCCACGAAACCAGGTCCTGCACGGATCTGCGTGGCTTTCAATGAATGGCCCAGATATTGTATGGCATTTGTATGGCTCTTACTATCTCTTACTCCAAGAGCACTACGGTCCATGCATCGGCGCGGTCGGTCCAACCACCTCTCCCTTAGGAACGTGAAGCTGCTCCGTATATCTCTGAACACGGCAATCCAGGTTCTGGGTAAGCTGAGGATAGCTGAGGCATGGGCTTGCTCGCATGAAGACTGTGGCGGAGCTGTGTGGGCAGGCCAAGCCAGTCCTCAACAGGTGATGGAGATGAGACGGCTGTCGAACAAGTGAACTGACAGGGCCGCGACTGCAGAGCAGCGATGCTTGATCACCCTCTTTCGCATCCTGTTCAAGCGGGCTTACCATCTACGGCAACTTCGTTTTCTAGCGCCTTTCGGCAGATGAGGCTCCTTGCCCGTGTAGAGGACCAGCAGTGAATCATCGCAAGCATCGTCCGTTCCAGTGTGACCTTGTGATGACTACAGGCTAACTTTGTTGAAGTCAGCAAGGTTGAAGACACTGTGACAGAGACAGATCGACAACAGCCGCGTGGATGGTTCTCCGGCAACCTGCTGCGTTTTGCAAACATCGGTCCGGCATTGATTTGGCTGATGCTGCCTGCATGTCTTTCTTCTTTGCTACTTGCTTCCTGAGGCGCATGCCAACTGCATTATGGAGATTGTCCAGGCCAAATCTGCAGCACCCACACAACCTGGACCACGTTTAACATCTCAATACTACATCTTGCATGAACATGCGCGATGTAGGATCACCGACGCGGATGCGCATAGTACGCCAGTCGCTCCTGCAAGGCATGTTGTGAGTGCGACCCTTCTGACATTCCCGGCGCAAAGTCCTGATTCCAGGCGAGTGTGGCAAACAGGTTGCTCGTGGAGCCTGCCTTTGGTCGTGGCACTGTGTGGTATGGGGTATGGCAGAACAACAGCCAGGGTGCTGATCACTGAGGGTTAAGGACCGGTCCCTGATGATCTCAACCTTCTGAGCCAAGAATGGAGTCTCCTTTGCACGTTGTTGGTGAAAGGAGGGAAAAAGGGGGAGGAGACTGGAAGGAGGGTCGCTTGAAGCTTTTGGCCTGGCCTCCTCAAGATGGCGATCCTGAGACACATCGGCGCCAGTCCTGTACCTCGATGTCCACTGTGCTGTTCAAGCTCTCATGCAGTGAATCCAGTGCTCAGTCTGCACAGTCCTTCTAACTCTCTTGAAGAAGTTGTAGAGGCAGTGCTCTGAAACCATTGGCCAGAGCTTGCCAGCTTCGGCCTCAATCGGGCACCAATTTCCAGACAAGTGAGTTTCAGATAGTTGCAGGGTGTGCTTTCATTGCTTCCCCGTGCTTTCCCTCGCCTTGAAGCCGCCAGCTTCTTGCGCGAGGAATAAGGAAAACAAACGCCCAGACTGGGTGCCGACCTTCGTTTCTTAGAGTTCAAGCGTCCAAACAGTAAGAACCGAAAACAGGCGACGTCTGGCCAAACATGGAGACCAAGCGCAGCGCGACAAGGACAACACCAACACATCCATAACCAGGATGTGGGGCCGCGGAGCAAACAAAAGCTGGGACCTGGCAAGCAGAGTTATGGCGGGAGGTCATCACAAACTCATCACACATTTTCTCTGGTTTAACTGCCGCCTCTTCCGAAGGCATTCCGGGCGGCGGCGGCCTTTGGAACATGTGCAGCTTTGGGATGCCAGTCGAAGTCATTACGACGAGTGCTTCTCAATTCAGCGCTGCGCAAATCCACGCGCTGTCCATCCGGAAAGACAGAGATTCGCCAATCGGAAACTGAGGCCGAAGTTGTCAAGGTTCGGTTGCAATGCAAGTGTTGCAATCTGGCGAGGCCACTTCAGGATTGAGGCCCTCGCATACAGCTGCCAACGTTGGCTTCCGAATGGAGGAAGATCCCTGATGACTTGACGAGACAGGATGACTTTCCGTCTTCACCACACGTTGCACCAGGTTTTGTCATTGCCTTGCATTGCCTTGCATCCGCACCATTCTGCAACTACAGGCTCGTGAGGCTCGCCTTGTGAACTGCCGATGTGAGAGGGGCCACGCAGGCTGCTGCGAGCTTTGCGTCAGCAGGCAATGCCTGAACCCACCAGCTAAACCTACCAGTTCAGCTTAGGCGTCAGTATGCTTCACCAGAGCAGGTTCTCTGCAGGCAGCCTCTAAGACATGTATGCAGTGCGATCTGAGGATGGTACGTACGCAGCAAGCGGAGACGACGGCCTTGGCAAAGAGTCGGCACAACAATGCGCCAGTGCGTTGTTAAGTCGACACGATGCATTTCTTTCTCATGAACGAGTCAATTAATTACCTACCCCAAGCATGCCAATCCGACTCGTGAAGCTACACATGTTTTTTTCTTGCTTCTCCTTTGCACTAGCACATCTGTTGAAGGCATGGTTCATCATGGTCCTCTGACGGCCTTCTTTGTGATGCTGACCGTAGCCGCCGCAAGTAGATGAGGGCATGTCCAGGACGTCCGTGTCGCCGCAGTTCTGCGAACGTCGCAGAGCGACAAGACCGCCCAAGGGTTCCTTCTTCGTGCAAGGCGCTGCGAGTGGATGATGGCTTTACGAACATACACGAACTGCTTGATCCTGAGCAGTTTGTGCTGGCGGGCAGACATTGGCGGAACACAGGCGCTGGAACTCCGAGCGGGATGGTGCAACGTGGCCGAATCAGACGTTTCAGCGAACAGCCCAAGAGGTTTGCTTCTCTGATGCCATGTTGGGGCTGTTAGGGCCCGGATCGCAGCCAGCTCTTGGACCAGCGCTTTCCTCCCCCACGCCGAAGCATGGCAGCTACTCGGTCTTGACAGGTTTGCTCAGCTATGGCCAGTGGCGTATAGAATCCTGAACGAATATTCGTATCGATTCCAGGCACTTCAAGGAGACGCTCCACGATAGCACAATGGCCATGTTCTGCGGCTGCGTGCAGTGCCGTCCAGCCACTGGTGTTAGCGTTGACATCGATGGCGGGCTCCTGCAGCAAAACCTTCAACAGTTCAATTCTCCCTCCTTCTGCAGCATATTGCAGAGCTGTGCCTTCTACAAAGAATACCTTCGAGTTGACATCCAACCTGGGAATAGCCAAAACCAATCGTAGGAGTTCGATATCGCCTTCCTGCATGGCCGCCCGCAAAAGCTTGCCCGGGAAGCCAATCCCTGCGACCAGTTCTTCTCTGACACCTTGAACCTTCTTGACGAGGTCTCTGAAAGCAGTGACTGTGCCTAGAGCAACTTCCGCTCTGGCTGCAAGAATGGAACTTGCGACCTCTTCACACTCCTTGGAGTCCTGCTGCAGTGTCAAAGCCAGCACTGATTTCAGGCCCACACTCATGTCTGCTTTCTTGAGAAACATCTTTATCAACTGCACCTGCCCGTTGACAGCCGCCAGTGACAGGGGTGAGAAGCCATCATCAGTGGAAGCATTCAGGTCGATGCCAGGTCTTGGCAACAAGGCTTCGACAACTAGGACCTTGCCATGCTTCACAGCCACATGAAGCGGGGTCATCCCTCCAGCCGCCCGGGCATTCAAATCCACGCCCGGCGTCTCCACAACTTGCACAACGATCCTTGCGTTGCCACGCTGGACTGCTAGATGTAATGGCCTGAAGCCACCGATGCTGCCACACTTTGCCCCCAGGTCTACATTGATGTCCAAGGTAGGACACTTGAGGACTTGAGCGAAGAGCGCTTCATCAAGCTCTTTCTCTATAGCAAGGCGCATAGATCGCGTGTCGACGTCGACACCAGTGTGGGTCAGAAGCAACTGTGTGATGCGGAACTTGTCGCTTGACAAGGCAAGGGTCAAGGCAGTGTCTCCGTTGTCTGCTTTTGTGTTGATGGCCGTGCGCGCGTCGGCAAGGAGCAACTGCAGAGCCGTTTCCTGCCCCTCGCGCGCAGCAAAATGAAGTGCTGTGTATCCCATCGAAGTGTCCTTTGCGTTGACATCAATGTCAGGCACTGCAAGGATCAATCGCAGCACATCGTTGTGGCCTTGTTCAGCGGCCAACATGATGGCAGTCTTCCGGTTCAAGACGCGGTTGATATGCATCACATCAACCGTGAAATCAAGCTTGCAACGTGCCTTCGCAAAGCTCAATCCAGCAATAGCGTGGCGAGGCGTGATCAGCAAGGGATGCTCTCGGAAGAGCTGCCTTAAATTCTCTTCCATGTGCTTCATTACACGCATGATCACCGTCTTGTCTCTCCCAATGGTTGTCACAAATCTCTCTTGCATGAGGAGGTCACAGGCCGTGTCAGCTGACATGCCCATCCACACTTTCATCACCAGCTCCTGGATTTTGCCCTCCTGCCCCTCGTGGCTTTGCATGCATGCGAATACTGTCCGGTAATGCTCCGCCAAGCTGGGGGTTAGCCCGAGGAGCGTCGGAGTCTTACAAGAAAGAAAAAGTTCGGTAGCTGGCCAAAACCGGATATCGAAGCCATCGTCCCAAAGAACAATCACGGTGGCACCAAGATACAGATATGGAAGGCAATGCTCAATTGACTGCTTGAGCAGGGTCTCATCCTCGACGGAGAGCTGCTCGTAACATCCGTCATCGTTCCATGGCTGAGGAACGCAAGCAAAGTCGAGCCAGACATATTCAATCCATCGACATGCCTCGCTTGCAAGCACGCCTTTCAGTCTGGCAAGTTTGAGCCCATCTGGATCGAAGTGCTTCTTGCTGAGCCAGACGTGGGTGATCGCTGCTGTGGACCTCTTCAATTCGCCGCTCACAATGTCTCGATATGGTATGCTGCGCCACTCCAGCAACTTCCGCTCCTTCAATGTTTGGTGCCGCGGACAGCGCGCCGGCAGTTTCAGGAAATCATCTTTTCCTTAGTTTCATTGCAGCTAGATTCCTAGATCGCAAAGACGGCATTTACTGGCACTGACAGGCACTTGCCAACAAGGACAGGCTGTGAGCCGAGCTGCGGAGGAACCAAAAGCCCTCCTCGCTCATCGTGCTGGAGGTTGCTTTGCGGACGTCACAAACTTCGCGTAAGCACGGCACTGGCTCTGTCTGGCCACCCTTGTCCTGTGAGTCTGATTCTGTAGCATCGATAGTGGCGAAGGTGTCCCACGCTGCCTCATCGATCCACGCTTCCAGTTGGACCTTGCAACGGCCTCCTTTCCTTTCACTCACCTGAAGTCTGTCAAGCCCGCGAAGCCTTGCAACCTCAAAGATCTGGCCACAGATCCGTCCACCGGTTGCATCGTCCCACAGTGATGTCTCAGTCTCATGGGCAGATGGCATGGCACTGTGGATCTGTGATGCCTGATGACTGGCTTGGCTGGTGAACTACAATGCATCACCACACGCGCAGGCACGCTTGATTCTCACGTGCGTCGGAAACTGCCCCTGACGTCGCCCCAAAATACCAGGACCCCCTTAGAACAAGGACCCAAACAATTCTAAAACAAAAACCCACATCTAGTGGCGGAGGGTGTCTCTGAGTCTCTATATATGCGGCCCTGCACAGGTTCGCTGCAAAACGCATGTGGTGCCTGCCGCAATTCTCATAACGCGCATCCTACAAGGGAACCATGTGCTGAGATGCAAGAAACTCAATTCATCTCAAGAAACAGAAAAGTTGTCGAGAGAGAGGGCTTTTGTATGGCAGGTGCACTAAGGCCATCAGGCCCATATTCTACATCCCATACTCCCCCCCCCCCCGCCAGGTTTGCAGATCAGCTGACCAGCTTGCAGTCAAGAGCACTTTGGGGCTTTGGATTGATGAAAGGTGCCCAGAAGCGACAGAAGCGCTCCACAGAAACCCAAACAGACAGAATGCGACCGTTGTGCACGAAATATAACAAGTGTCTTGCCGCAGTCTTGCCTATTTTTGGACCAAGGCTCTAACAATCCCCTGTCCATGATGTAGTTGCAAAGAAGAAACCACAACGAAACGCGAGCTCACGTGAGAGAAAAACTGAATGAGCCCGCTGCTGCCCTGGGAACAGGAAGAACAGCAAGTCAGAGTCCTGCAGCAGACAAGTCATTGAATAGTTCTGATCTCAAAGCTACACGGCAGCATCAGACCGCTGGCACATCCTGCCTGCACTAGCCACCACAATCCCTGACCTGGCGCAGTCGCGGAGACTCGATGTGCTGTTGACAGGTTGCTTAAATTACTGCTCCAACTCACCACGAATACGACGAACGTTCGCTTGCACGGTGCTCAGCCATGAGCGGGTGTCGATCCCAACGGCATCTGCAGAGAATGGTCCACGTGGTCTTAGCGGCGTACCTGACAGGTTTTGGGATGGCTACAACACAAAATGCAAGAATTACTGCAAAACAAACCTTGTGCATCGTCATCGCCCTCGGTGATGCCTTCCTCCGAGACTGTGACCTCTGCACTGTCGAAGTCAAGGTCACAAAGTTGCGAAGGTGACTTTCCCAAGCGGTGTGCTGGAATGAGCGGAACCTGCTGAGGTGCCGGGGGCTTTCTCCAGCCGCTCCTTGGTTGCCGTACTCTTTGAGCTGCCGAGCACTGCCGAGGTTTCAGGAAGTTTGCCTTCCACCGCTGCGCCATTCGCAGGCACTTCCAGCACTTCTAGACAGCACTTTGCAATGCAAGCGCAAGCCATGCCCGAGGCTTCCGCAGAAAATCAAAGTTGAGCACCATCGCTACGGTGTCACCATCTCTGACAAGGCATTACTTTGTGAACCGCCAGTCACGAAGTAGTGCTGGCTGTTTGATGTAAGTCGCGACTGCTTTTCGATGTAACACACGATTCCAGATTTGCTCGTGTCTGTGTTGCTAGCGTCTGTTTATCTGATTGTTCTGGTGCGGTTGGTAGTTGCTGGAATGGGATGTGTTGACGACATGGCTATGGCATATCATGGGCAATCCAGCATGGCTCTAGTACAACAGCCCAGAAGCTGCAAGCAAGAGCTCAAAGATATAGCCAAGCCTGTTTTGCAGCATGTGCATCATCTGCGTGGGCAATGCTCGTTTTCTGTGAAGTATTGATGGATGGCCGCGGCGCAATGGAGCTTCTGCTCAAACGTAAGCTCTTCTCAAGCTCAAGTTTCCCTTGCGGATTCTGGAGTTACACATCGCTTCCTGCAAAGAAACTGGGAAACCAGAGCTTGCTTGGGCGTGCCGCTGGCTCTGTATTGACCAAAAGACAGCCCGTGCAACACATCCAAAAGCAACCTGCACTTCATACATCTTACTTGTAACTACTCAGAACTACGGTGGCAAGGGTTAGGTTCGGCCGTGGGAGGACCAAGTGCCCGCATGTCCACGTGATTTAAAACTTGCCAAAGGAGCAAGGCAGTCTGCGGCGCAGCAAGAGCGCACGGCCACAGATCAATACAACACGGCATCTTTGCACACGGACAATCATGTGATTGCAGCACATGTCGGGTTTCTGCGAATTCCTGTTCTTGTCATGTGACAGCCAAAGACGGAACCACTCGTCATCACCCTTTGCAAGATCAGCGGACGTGGGTCCCCAAGGGCTATGCATGCTATGGATTTCATCCGAGACCAATCACCGACAGTGGCTCCATCATTGTCACAGAAACTCTGGTGGCCCCTGAAGTCCTGCGAAATCAAGAGGATCCAAGACATGAGCGAATCCAGATCAAGGTGGCAACAGCATCTAGTTTCTCAGTGACAGCGGCTAGTGTGGAAGACACAAGTTGCATGAGTCTTGATGCTTCAGTGGGCACCACGAGTGTGTAGTCATGTCGTGCATGGTTGCAGTTCTCCTGGAGGCCGCCGCTGTGTCTTCGGATGCCGAATACGTGGAGCTCGGATTGTCTTTGTAGGGGGCGGAAAGTCAATGCGCTCGCCGTTGGCGAAAATCACGGGCTGCCGCAGGAAGGCAAGAAAGGGACACAACTCTGTACGCTTCTGTTCGGGGTTGCAGGCCAACCTTGTACTCGTCAGGCATGCTTGGGTGCATGACAGGACCTCATGTGTACTAGTGTACACGACCAAGTAGGCAGTACGGGCCGCCTCAGGACACAGCTGTTTCTGTACCGTTCGATGTGACCATCAAGACCTCGATGAGGCCTTTGCCATGAGTGAGTCTGCAATCTGTGCAATGACTCTTGGTTTCTCCTCGAGATGACACACAGAGCATACGAAGACTCACAGACACACAACAAGAAAGCAAATATGTGTGTATATATATATACATATGGATGTATTTGCCCTTTGTTTTGTGTTTATACAAGTTATTCTCAAGCCCCAGGCCCACACCCAAGATCAAGTTGCTGGTGACATCCATGGAGTACAAACATCCAAACGAGCCTAGTGTCTCCAAATTCCAAATTCTAGAAATAAACTGTATACAACTGGCAACAGCTTCAGACACATTTCCACTGTAAGCACGATCGCAACATCCAGGAACATCCGGACATGGGCCCTATGACCCATGTCTGGACGTGGACGGACGGGCGTTTGCAGCTCACGCCTGCGCGTGACTATGCCCATGGTCTGCCCAAGACAAAACCAACATCGCAATCATGAAACCAAAGTCGCAAAATCATCCCAGCGATCCAAGCAAAAAAAAACAATAACACAACAAGTAGTAGAACAACCGAAGTTGCAGACGACTCTAATTTTGCGTCTGATAGGATTCTGACGTGGAGGGTCTAGAGTCATAAGGCCTTCGCTTGCATGTGTGTTCATGCCTGAAGCCTTGCATATGAGTGTTTCATATGCAATCAAGCGCAGCTCCACAATGCTGCTGACATCTGCCCTCAAACTACCGCAGAACACATTCCATCGAACACGCCGCGTATACTCGAACGGCACTTAGCAGTCCGTCCCAATATGAACGATCATAAAGTGCAGGAGGGCGACGGCAGAGTTTGCGCATTGCTGCTCAACAAACCCGAGGTCCGCTTAACAGGAAAGCTGTAATTCAACATTAGCGCGTTCTTTGGCCCAACAGCACAAATTCCGGTTCGGTTCTTTCGAACTATTTCAGGCTTTTCCGGTACTGGCCGGTCATTGTACGTTTGTCGGGTCCCCTTTGTTTAGAGACTGAAGCCGGACAGTGTGGGCTGTTTGGAACTAAGGAGTTGACAGACGGGAACGATTTGCCATTTAAATGCTCCGGAAACACCAGGAATTGTTGAGCTTAGTTTACACATCAAAAGGCAATTAAACTCCAAGCTCTTGAACATCAACCAAATCACCAAAGCAAAAGCACAACCAATACCTCCAAACTGCAACAACAGCTCTTGCGAAAACCGATCGCCCAGACTTCAAGCATCATTCGACATCCATCACGCCTCTCTACTCCACGCCCGCTTGCCCCACTCCCCATGGCCCTCATGGCCCTATGGGTCATGGCCTCGTGGCTCCATGGGCTGATGGCCCCCTGCCCCTATAGCCTCCTTGCCCCATGGCCTCACATGCCCCCTATATGCCCATGCCTCCTATGGCTGCATGGCCACGGCCCATGGTCCCACGGCCCATGTTCCCACGGCCCCATGCCCTTAGCTCAGTTTTAAGGGCTCCAGTTTGCCCTGCTCCCCGCACTGCCCCCGCTGCCTCCGCCCGCTCCGCTCTCATGGTCGGGCTCCTCCGCCCTCATGGTCCGGCTCCTCTGTGGCTCCATGCCCCTACGAGCTGAGTTTTCCTTAACCGCCCACATGGCCCCAGGCCCTCAAGGCCCCATGGCGCCTCTCTACTCCACGCCCGCTTGCCCCGCTCCCCATGGCCCTCATGGCCCTATGGCCCCATGGCCTCGTGGCTCCATGGCCTGATGGCCCCCTGCCCCTGTAGCCTCCTTGCCCCATGGCCTCACATGCCCCCTGGCTGCATGGCCACGGCCCCATGGTCCCACGGCCCATGTTCCCACGGCCCCATGCCCTTAGCTCAGTTTTAAGGGCTCCAGTGCACGCCCGCTTGCCCTGCTCCCCTCGCTCCCCTCGCTGCCCCGCTGCCCCCGCCCGCTCTGCCCTTATGCATGGTCGGGCTCCGCCATGGCCCCATGCCGGCCCCACGGCCCCATGGTCCCACGGCCCCATGCCCTTAGCTCTCTCCGCCCCCGCTGCCTCCGCCCGCTTCTCGCCCACATGGTCCGGCTCCTCCATGGCCCCATGCTCCTACGGCCTTGCTCCGCTCCCCTCGCTCCCCTCACTCGCCAGAGTCCCTGGCCCTATGACCCCATGGCCTCGTAGCTCCATGGCCTTATGGCCTCCTGCCCCTACGCTGCCTCCGCCCGCTCCGCTCTCATGGTCGGGCTCCGCCATGGCCCCATGCCGGCCCCACTTAGCTCAGTTTTAAGGGCTCCGGTACGCCGCCCGCTTCGGCTCCCCCATGGCCCCATGCCCCTGCGGCCTCATGGTCCCACAACCCCATGCAGGCCCCATGGCACGTCTCTACTCCATGCCCGCTTGCCCCGCTCCCCATGGCCCTCATGGCCCTATGGAGAACCCCAAGACTCGGCGTTAACTTTGGAGATGAAGTGTTCC